TGGGACTCATTTATAATGGATTACAGTGGAGCGTGGCTGGATGGAGCCTGGAACAGATGTTTGAGACCACGATCTCAACTTCAGTTTTGATAAATACGGATGTCTCGTGCAAGGTCAGCGTTTCGTTTCCTATCACAGAAGAGACAAAAATGCTGTGCAACGCAGATAACCGCCCAGGTCCGGACGTCCACCGTGTTCCATCCCATCATTAACATTTTTGAGTAAACCCAGGTTGGACAAAGAGGCGTCTGCATGCTGAGACTTGTGATTTTGGCCCATTTACACACACACACACACACACACACACACACACACACACACACACACACACTGTTAATAGCCCAGGAAATATTATCTGCAAGGGGACAGCTGCAGGCTCACAGGAGAGACAGAATAGACTCATTATCCTAAACCAAACACAGGACCGCACCACGCTCTCGAAGACACTGCGAGACGCTTGTTTTGGTTATTCTGGGAGCTAAAACCTTGGAAGGAACATGGCTGGATTCTATGTTTGAAGGGAAGAGGTGGATGATGCGGCCACGGGAGTCCAGGCTGGGCCCTTCCTGATCTGGACCCATCCGTCTGTGGAAGAGACGCCCTCCGTCTCCTCCTTCCCCGCTCTGCCTCCATCCCAGAGGAATTTGTTTTCCACTACGCAGATGTTCAGGGCTGTCTGCTGCGCTGCACTCAGCTGTGTTTATAACAAAGAGGTGTTGGTTTGGAGGAGGAGGGCGGGCGGGCGGCGAGGTGGGGGAGTAAGTGCCGGCGAGGAGGGTTGGAGGTCACTGTGCTGTTGATGTAAACACTGAAGGATGCCAGCTCCCCCCCGGGGCATTCAACATTTCATCTCTTTATTTTTCCTCTCTGTACATCTTTTTTTATTTTATTATTATTTTACAAAGGGGGCAGATGCTTAAATGTTAGCTAAAAGAATCCCAGCGAGCCCAGCGGGGGGAGATGGAGCCCCCACTGTGAGGAGATGGTGTGTAATTAATGTCACAACTAAAGCCAAGCTCCCTCCCTTTGCTTTTATTAAAATCTGCATTAAACCCCCAGAATTTATTTTTGAATTCTTGAATCATTCGGTGAGAGAGGATCAGAGTCAGCCCAGCCAACGGTGTTGGACTTGGGTTAGCCCTTCTGACAGAACCAGTTAGGTTTTGAGTCCCGGTTTGTTCCGATGGACTCGGTGCTCCGGTGGATCGGATGTTTGGTGTTTACACTTGCATTCCTGGATGACTCGGCCTGTTGTTAGCCGTGTAAACGAACTCGGCGCACAGCTGCGGTGTTGACACGGATCACAGCGAGTGCAGAGATTCTGGAGCATCAAACACAAAACTGTTTCTCAGGCATGTTCCTTCTTATCGACGGTGCTCAAGTCATAAAAAACGTCACATTATTAGATTAGTTTGATTAATGCGGACGACGACCGGGAAACATATCAGAATGGATTGTTTTACGGTTTCTTGTATTCAGTAAAAGTCTCAGGATCAGCGCTGACGGGTTTTGCTCCGGAGTTGGTGCTGTCAGACAGCGAGGGGTCCATCTGCGACTCTAACTTTGATCTGTGACTCAAATGACATCAAAGTCCAAAGTAATGCTTGTTTTTGTTTAAGAAAGCACAGTTTTACATCCAGTGCTGCATTCACACGTCCTGCAGGCTGTACTTTCTGTTGGGTCCAACTTTTCAGATTAAAAGCACTGTTTTCATTTAGCCCATATGAATATGCAAGAGAGACATTTTCCAGCCAAAATGGCACAGAAATAGTTTCATACCACCACAGAAAGGGCAGTAATAATAAAGTCATCATTTTTATATGTAGTTTTTGTTTATTTTTAATGCCTTTCTTGGTTTCTACCTTTTTGCTGTGAGACACCGACTAATTTAGGTCTAATCTGTCCACATGTGGGGAGAGGTCCTACCTCAAGTGGAGGAGTTTAAGTATCTCGGGGTCTTGTTCACGAGTGAGGGTAGGAGGGATCGGGAGATCGACAGGCGGATTGGTTCGGCGTCTGCAGTGATGGGGACGCTGAGCCGATCTGTCGTGGTGAAGAGGGAGCTGAGCCAGAAAGCCAGGCTCTCGATTTACCGGTCGATCTACGTCCCAATCCTCACCTATGGTCATGAGCTTTGGGTAATGACCGAAAGAACGAGATCGCGGATACAAGCGGCCGAAATGAGTTTCCTCCGTAGGGTGGCCGGGCTCAGCCTTAGAGATAGGGTGAGGAGCTCGGACATTCGGGAGGGACTCGGAGTAGAACCGCTGCTCCCCTGGATTGAAAGGAGTCAGTTGAGGTGGTTTGGGCATCTGGTCAGGAAGCCTCCTGGACGCCTCCCCGGGGAGGTGTTTCAGGCATGTCCTGCCGGCAGGAGGCCCCCGGGTCGACCCAGGACACGTTGGAGAGGTTACATCTCCAATCTGGTCCGGGAACGCCTTGGGGTCCTGCCGGAGGAACTGGTGGAGGTGGCCGGGGAAGGTCTGGAGCTCCCTAGTTGGGATGCTTCCCCTGTGACCCGGACCCGGATAAGCGGAGGAAGACGACGACAATTGTCCACGTGTGTACGCTGATGTTTTCTGTACACGTTGTTGTTCTGCTGAAGTGTTGTTTTTAAAACTAAAAAGGTTACATTTTTTTACTTTGTGTATTGCATCAGGAGTCTGCGTGAAACAACATTTTGTTCAAATGAATACTCTGTATGTAGAGAATGATAAAAGTTTAGAATCCTGATATAACTGCTGATTTGGGATGAAACTACATCTACAACTGCTGTGGTCTTTTCAATAAAGTTTATAGATATGATTTGGAGCTCACTGATGAGCTACCTTTATACGCTGATGACACTGATGTTATTTGTATGGAGTCTTTTTTTAGGTGAGGCCCTTTTTTTTGAGGCCTAGATGAAAACCAGATTGCTCACTTCATCATTTGGGATGCATTCATCATCAGGTTTGCATCAATAAATCAGAACTGATAAAAAGGCTGTGGAGCTCTTTGTTTTAATAATGAAATTCCAAAGGTGCATCATCTTTTTTGAAGCACTTCCAGCCAAGAAAATCAATGCAAATAAGAATCATATCCAGTCCCTGCCGGGACAAGGATGGCAGATTGGATCCAATATGGATTCTCCACCTTGTCAGGACCGAACAGGTGAATGAATGCAGGGGATGTAAATATGTGGTGTTGGAGGGGAGATGAAGAAGTGATGACTGAGAGGTGATGAGCTGTGTGTGTGTGTGTGTGTGTGTGTGTGTGTGTGTGTGTGTGTGTGTGTGTGTGTGTGTGTGTGTGTGTGTGTGTGTGTGTGTGTGTGTGTGTGTGTGTGTGTGTGTGTGTCAGTCAACAAAAAGGAAGGTTGTGACCATGAGGAATGCTGACGGCCACCTAAACGAGTTTTACTACAGCTGTTAGACGAAGAGGAAGATTGGTGAATTTAAAATTCTATTAAAACACACAGAACATAAGTTTAGATTGGTGTAATTACTATATATGAATGGCCCAAAGTAATTATGATGTAAGAATTGATGTTTTCCTTGCTGCCTTTAGCTTTAGCCTAGAAATCTAGACAGACAGTAGCCAAAGCAAAATGGATTTGCTCTGCATGTTGGTCTAGCGACGCCCCATAGGAGCCTCAGCAGGCCCGAACAGTCTTTTGCCTCACCAATCACAGCGTTCTATCACTTTGGTGTGGGCGACGGTAGCACAGGAGTTTACTCATTCACTGCCGATGACGACTAAAGTCGTCATTTGCATTTTTTTTACTGTTTGAGCATCAGAACGAGCCCCCGCGTCTCAGCCCTGATGCCGATCTTCATCCGCATACGTCACAGATCACATGATCAGGAAGCAACACATCCATGTGTTAGGAAATCGTTTTGGGCCGTCCCTGTAAAAAAAAAGTGAGGCGCGAACCAAAAAAGCGTCTGCCGATCACAATTCGACAACGGATTATGAAAGAACGGATAACGCTCGAAACTCATGGCTTCTTCCTGACGCAAGAGGTGAGTCTCCTCTTTGTTTTGGTTGTTTTGGCATCGACATCATGCTAGCGCGCAACGTTCTGTGACTCTTAAAAAAACAGTAAAAACGGTGAGAAACGCTGGCAGCGAAGGCCGTTAGCGATCAGGAAATGGCTGGCAGTGAATGAGTTAAGTGCTCGCCCCGTAATCGGAAGGTTGCAGGTTTGAGCCCCGCTCAGTCTGTCACTGCTGTTGTGTCCTTGGGCAAGACACTTAACCCACCTTGCCTGCTGGTGGTGGTCGGAGGGACCGGTGGCGCCAGTGCTCGGCAGCCTCGCCTCTTTCAGTGCACCCCAGGGCAGCTGTGGCTAAATTGTAGCTCATCACCACCAGTGTGTGAATGTGTGTGTGAATGTGTGAATTGCTGATTGTGTTGTAAAGCACCTTGGGGGGTTCCAGGACTCTAGAAGGTGCCATATCAAATGCAGGCCATTTACCATTTTATCAGTTTGTGCCCCAATCACAGTGTTTTATGACTTTGGTGGGCAAATCTCAGTGCCCTATTGGTTTGGTGGACAGGATGATGTGACAGAGCGGAACAACTATGGCTAAGTTGGCTCATGTGGAACGGCTTTGGCATCAACTTTCGACCATTTAGATTTGTTTTGGTTTTTTTGAGAAAAGAGCACACAGAGGCATTTTTTGTTTATATTTTTTAAAAAGGACATATTTGTATCTTCTGTGTCGGTGCATGGTGGACTGCCCCATTGTCACACATCCGTAGCGGCGAGTATGTCACGTTGTTTGTTGTCCAATAGCATGCAGAGACAGTTTGAAAGAGGACCATAGACTCCGCTCTATGACCGAACTCTGTCTCTGGGTTTTGGCCAGACTTTATATTCACATGTAAAGGATAGCCTGCCAGGCTATTAAGCTGTGTAAAATGCACACCGCATTTCTAGCTAATTACTGTTGCTTATTGTCTCATTATATTCTGGTAACTGATCAAATTTCCTTCTATGTTCTGTTTTGTTGCAGTTCTACGAGATGATTTTAGACTAAACCCCGGAGATGTGATTGTAGCAGCGGGAGAACCTGCTGTCCTGGAGTGCCAGCCCCCTCGTGGACACCCTGAACCCACCATATCATGGAAAAAAGATGGAATTAACATCGATGACAGGGATGAGCGGATCACTGTAAGTAATTCTGTTATTGCTGGTACAATTTTAAATGCATGAACTAGCGTGACCCGGTCCTGCAGGTCACATCATTACTAACCACTTCAGCTGCTGTTGAAAGGTTTATTTGGATTATTGCACACATCAAGGAATTCCTAAACCCAAAATAACCCATTTAAATGGCCACAACCTTTAGTAATGGAGGTTGCAGTTGGTCCTGCTCCTTTAGTCAGCAGCTGTGCATCGATTAGCGGTTTGTTGATGAGCAGGAGTGAATTTCAGGAGGGACGAATGAGCTGACCAGAATCAAAGGGGAGAAAGTTGTAGCAGCTGCACAATCTAAACAACTATCTTCATTTGATTTACAACCAACCTTAATTACGACAGCAAAGCCAGCACTGTGGTATCCAATCAGCTGCAGATGCTAGCTTAGTAGATCCATGCAGAGTAGTCTTCTTTTTGAAAATTCATCTAAACATCTTCTTCACTTAAACTGGTTAAAGTTAAAGTCCCATCAGTTGTCACACACACTGATGTGTGTGCGAAATTTGTTCTCCGCATTTGACCCATCCCCTGGGGGAGCAGTGAGCTGCAGACACAGCCGCGCTCGGGAACCGTTTGGTGGTTGAACCCCCCAATCCAACCCTTAATGCTGAGTGTCAAGCAGGGAGGTGCTTAATTCGGTAGCTATCATTAGCATACCTCTCCACGGTTCTCCAAATAAAGGACAGTTTTGTTCGGACATATAGAGCCCAATTAAAGTTAAATATCTTAAACAGTTCAGCTGTCCTCTGTTTTTCTTAACTCAGCTGCACAAGATTAAGAATCCATGTTTGGCTGCAAAACTGAAAGAAATGAACAAATAAACAAGATAAAAAGAACTAAGCAGACTTCATCAAATCAAATCAAAGATACTTTATTAATCCCAGAGGGAAATTAAGAGTTTCAGTACACAGAATTCAGAGATCAGACATACATGGGCAAGACACATGGCAAGAATTGGTGACTGTGGTCATTCGCAACCCTGAGTCGCGCTACCTTAATAGAGATAAGAGGGTTACATGAGGGTTGGTTCAGGTGGAGGGGAAAAAATGGTACTTCAGAGTTACCCTCCCCCAGGAGGGCAGCTTTGCTATACAAAAACAAACACCTCAGACAGAAATGCAAAAGACTTCAGACAACACAACATAAGTGTCCACTAGGTGGGGTGGTGGGTTGGGACTATCCCCACTTCAGTTCCTGCAGCCACGATAGAAGCAGCGCATGTCACCTCAGTGTGGATAGGGGGAGGAGCATTGAGGGTTGGAGGGTTGCAGTGACCCTGGAACGTGTCAGCGGCCTTCCCTCAGTCCCGCCCAGGCTGGGAAAGGAGACAGAGTTCAGTTGCCATAGCGATGGCACATTCCACATATCTTCTGAGGGGGGAGTTTTCGTTGGAGCCTTGCAGGCTCAAGGGCGCCAGATTCCGGTTAGAAATTGTTTTGGGGCCAGACAGAGATAATTTCCTCTCTGTCTTACAGTTTGTTGGTCCTCAACCTCTCAAAATCCCAATAATGGACATTAAACTATCCCAATCCGTGCTGATTCGTCCACTCTATCCTTGATGGCATCCATCTTTTGTACCAATAATGAATCTCAGCCAAAGTTCCAAGCTTACAATTCATCTCGACAATAATGTGAGTCTGTGAATTCACAGCGCAGTGCAAACCATCTCTGAGCTCCAGGATCAGGCCAATATTCCTCGGCAGCTCGTTAATTTTCCGGTAAGCCAGGTAGCCTCCAAAGCCAATGAGCAGGAAACCTGACACCAACACCACGAATATCCACACGTCTTCAGAGTTCTCCACAGACAGCTGAGAAAGACAAATCAAGTTCCACTGTTTCCAGGAGTCCATGATGTGTCCAACTGGGCCTGTCGCGGAGGGGCATCCGGGAGCCCCTTCTCCCGTTCTCATCGTTGACAAAACGTTATCAATCGCGTTGAGAGACCAACTGACCAGATCCATTTTAGTGAATTTCAGTTTCCAGAAATAATGCAGAAGCAGCCGTGCACCCAGCACACACAGACAAAGGGCCTTGAGGATAAGATATGGGTGAGAGGAGGAAAAAGCGTCTGCACCCTCCAAGAGCCGGAAGAAGAGCCAATTCATCCGTCTCACAATAGTTAATGGCCAAAATCAACAGGTGAACATTTTGTCTCATTTGTTGGTTCAGTAAATTGATCCCCTCTTGCTTAATTTATCTAAACTTGTGGAAAATAACATCATAAATCTCTTTTATTGTCGTTTCGGTTTTGTTCCAGTGTAAATGTATATACTTGTGTGTGTATACCGTATTGTCCGGACTATAAGTCGCACTTTTTTTCATAGTCTGGCTGGTCCTGCGACTTATATACCAAATTGTGTATACCGTGCTGCTGTGGGCCGGCTCCGGACCAGGTTTCAGCTCCTCTGCCCCGCCATCACCTGCTGGAGCCTGCGGCGGGGTGCTGCAGGCAGGCTTCGACCCAGGAATGAGCTCTCCCCGCCCGCTGGGAGGGTTTGAAACACTGCCATCCTCTGCTGGAGACCGTGGCGCGCTGCTGCGCCCTGGATCCGCCCCCACCCACCCAGACTTCAGCTCTCCCCACTCGCTGCCAGGGGTGCACATCCAGCCATCCTCTGCTCCACACCTCAATGCCCCTCAATGCCTCAATGTTGCATCAGCGGAGTGCTGATGCAACAGCTGGTTGTTTATTCTGTTATTGTTACCGGTACTCGTCTTGCAATGTGAAGTGCTTGGTCTCAGATTTTATACGAAAAATAATAAAATTTCCCCTCAAAATGCAACTTATGTTTTTTTCTTCTTCATTATACATTTTATGGCTGGTGCGACTTATTTTCCGGAGCGACTTATACCCTGGAAAATACGGTAATTATTTATATTTTTTTATTACAAAGGATTACGGTTTAATTGATGCTATTCCCTTACATTACAGCTGTGCTTAAATTAAAAACCTAAAATGTTTTAAGGAACATTGTGCGTACGGTTGCCACTGGTCCAGATGACTGAGTGGCTGTTGCCGGCAGCGCTTTCTGCAGAACTGAAACCAGGAGCCGAACAGCTGGTGTTTGTCACAGTGAACTTCCAGTCAAGCGAAGAACCTCACAAACGGAGTGTTCCCAAACGACCACTTCACATGTCGTGCTAGTTGATGTAATCAACCGTGGTGACAGAAGGACGTCTGGACGGTGTCTTGCAGGACTCCCACGCTTACAGAATTTGGACAGTCGCTGGACAAGTCCCAAATTTGTTTGTTCCAGTGAATTTGGTGAGACTTGAGAGAGGAACACAGGATGAAATCTTTGCAATGTGATGAGCAGCTCTGCCCGACTTCATCGTAATCATTTAGTTCATGACTCCTCCTGTGCATCACGCTGAAACATGCAGTTTCCTTGGTGATCAGCAGTGATCAAGCTTGGGTCTCAACTCCCCAGCAGTGGGGGTTTCCTCCTTGCTCTGGGATGAGGTGTTTAGTGTTTTCAGGAAGCAACAGAGGAAATCAGGACCGATGTTAAATGAAGGAATCCCTCTGCTTTTACATGTGTTTCAGATCTTGTTCACATGGAAACTGGAGGAAAACCACTTTTTATGGGATGTTTCTAAAATAAAGCCTGGTTTATGCTTCTCCGTCAGCTCCGCGAGGGCCAGACACGCACGGATTGACGGAAGCGTTTTGCTCTCATACTTCTCCGTCTCCTGGAGAGTGTTGCAAAGCAATTGCCCGGCAGGACCACAGAGGGCGTAGCGCTGTTCTGTGGTATCCTGTCATGTATCGGTCCAAGATAGTGTGTTTATATTGTGTTATTTGTGTACATAAGAGACTTTTAACACGGACATATTTGTCTCTCATTCTCCCACCGCTTCATGCGCTCCCCACCTCTAAACCACGTTTCCTGTCATTTCCGTCCACAAATAAAACGCTTGCTGCGCATCTTGTCACTCCTCCAGGCACGGGGGAACTAAACGTTCATATTTTTAGAGTTTTTTCGTGAGGTATTCTTCAAGCTTCTCCGTGTCTGCCGCTAGTTAAACTCGGCTCTCTTTGCAATGGCGGCGCTGTAAACAACAGCGGCGTCCTGACCAATCACAAGCTTGCGTAATCCGTCTCGGTCGACGGATGTTTAAAAAAGTGGGCTCGACTCCGTACGTACTTGCGTGCCTGCCGGAGCCCTACGCAAGGACGGATAATGGTGTTGCGTGTTTCCGCACTGACGCAGACGGAGAAGCATAAATCAGGCTTTACTCTGAAAAACATGAAGACACCAAAAAGGGCCCACGTTGTAGTAATTATAGCCGAAACTCTAAAGTTAGGATATGGTGCACAAGTTCACTCTTGTCAGAAATTCTGCCTAAAAGGTGAAACTAATATATGACACAGACTCGTCATGCAAAGCCAGATATTCAGCCTGTATTTGTTATAATTGTGGTGATAATGGCTTACAGCTGATGAAAACTCAAAATTCTAAATCTCAGAAAATTAGAACATTGGTTAAATTTTCTAGACTCAGAGTCACACTCTAATCAGCTAACGACTCATAAACACATTCAAAGGGTTGCTGGGCCTTTAGATGGTCTCTCAGTCTAAGTTGGATTACTGACATAAGTGGTTTTCTGCACTGTAACGGAATGAAATGACTGTTTTTCCCCTCCTCTGCGCAGGACTAGTCTGCATGAGATATGGTCTCAAGGTCTCATGCATTCCTTCTAACCTGCTTATTTTCAGCTCAACAGAAGAATGAAGAATTAACTATTTTCTTTAATTAATCAAAGAACTCTTTTTTAATAAAGCTAATCCAACAAAGTGTTAGTCAATAAATAAGATGTGACCAATCTGTGAAATCAAAATATTAATTATTTTATTATGATCCTATAGAATATAAAGGTACTAAGACTTTAAATGTTCCAGCAGGACTCATTTCACGTAGCATTAAAAGACATAACACATTACTTTCTGACAGATCTGACGGAGGCGTGGTTTTGATGGTGTTTGGTAACTCTGTCAATTTTTCATTCGACAATAAACCAAAACATCCGAAGTATAAAACTATGCCCACGTCATCTTCAACGCCAGTTCAAAGCGTTCCAGAGAAGTTGTCGGAGTGGCCAATCCGTAACTTTCCTCTTTAACCGAAAGAACAACGACAAGCTGGAAAATTCGTTTTTATTCCAACTGCTGCAACGGTTCCTTTCAAAATAAAAGCTGAACCATCAAGACCCAGGACCGGGTCTCACCCGACGCCAACAAATTGTCGTGACCCGGAAGTATCTCGAGATGGGTGGTCGGTTGCCGTGGCTTCTTCTACATGCTCTGGCTCCATAAGTTCAATCTGGACCTTTACACCTCCTGATCCAGACGGGGAATTCCGCTCAGGGTGTGTAGACCGGCAGAATGGCGTCTCATGTGTTTATGAATCTCCTGAACAAAGCCTAACGCGAAGACATCACCTTCAGTTCCCATCAGAACTAATCACTTCTTCGGATTTGCTGGTTCTGAACAACATTCCACATCACACCATTCTCTGTCTCATTCACCTTAGTTACACCAAACATTTAGTGTTTAAGTTAGTCTAGTTTAATTTGTTAGTAATAAAATTCTTAACTTTTAAACTCGACTCTCTCTTCTGTTGTCTCTGAGTGAATACGAAGCTGTTATCTAATCCCTGCATTAAAAAGTTCCAATCTAATTTAAAATAACCTCACAGATCCGTAAGGCGGATTTAATATTTCCTATGGAATCCGATGCCTTATGGCTTATTAAATAACACGTAATTTAATTCATTAAAGCACCATATTCTTATTTTTACGGTTTCCCCTGTATACTAGGCCAAAAATGAAACATCTAATTAGGGCCCGACCTACATACAGTTACTAGACGTTAACACCTGATGTGTGTTTTTTTTTTTATATCAGGAGCTTTTCTCATTAGATTACATAGAAAGTACCAAACGTAAACTGGAACCAGCTACTATGGGATGCTCACTTGACGCATCTGGCATGTTTGAGGTTGTAGGCTGGGTTTAAATGGTGAAATAGCCTGTATTTGGTATAGTGCTTTCTAGGGTTCTACAACCCCCCAAGGTGCTTTACAACAAAACCAATCATTCACCCATGCACTCGCATTAACACACTGGTGGTGATGAGCTACATTGTAGCCACAGCTGCTCTGGGGCGCACTGACCAAATGAAGTTGTACACAGCAACCACTGGTCCTTCTGACCACCACCAGCAGGTGAGGTGGTTTAAGTGCCTCGCCCAAGGACACAACTTTGACAGATGGGATTCAAACCTGCAACCCTCTGGTTACAGAGTGGGCACTGAACTCCTCTGCCACCGTCAGGTTTAGGGTAGGGTTTTGGGCATTCTCAATGCCTCACAAAATTCTCGAACCCTGTTTATAAGGAATCCCATTTTGGCGCTCTTAAAGGTGCCAACGGATGGTTCCTTATGTACAGGTGCTGGCCAGTAAATTAGAATATCATCAAAAGGTTGAAAATATTTCAGTAATTCCATTCAAAACGTGAAACTTGTACATTATATTCATGCAATGCACACAGACCAATGTATTTCCGATGTTTATTACGTTTAATTTTGATATTTATAGGTGACAACCAATGAAAACATCAAATCTGGTATCTCAGAAAATTAGAATATTCTAAAGGCCAATGAAAAAATGTTTGTTTCTCTAATGTTGGCCAACTGAAAAGAATGAACATGAAAAGAATGTGCATGTATAGCACTCAATACTTAGTCGGGGCTCCTTTTGCCTCAATAACTGCAGTAGTGCGGCGTGGCATGGACTCGATCAGTCTGTGGCACTGCTCAGGTGTTATGAGAGCCCAGGTTGCTCTGATAGTCGTCTTCAGCTCCTCTGCATTGTTGGGTCTAGCGTATTGCATCCTCCGCTTCACAATACCCCATAGATTTTCTATGGGGTTAAGGTCAGGCGAGTTTGCTGGCCAATCAAGGACAGGGATACCATGGTCCTTGAACCAGTTGCTGGTGGTTTTGGCACTGTGTGCAGGTGCCAAGTCCTGTTGAAAGGTGAAGTCTGCATCCCCATAAAGTTGGTCAGCAGCAGGAAGCATGAAGTGCTCTAAAACTTCCTGGTAGACGGCTGCATTGACCCTGGACCTCAGGAAACAGAGTGGGCCAACACCGGCAGATGACATGGCACCCCACACCATCACTGACGGTGGAAACTTTACACTGGACCTCATGCAACGTGGATTCTGTGCTTCTCCGCTCTTCCTCCAGACTCTGGGTCCTTGATTTCCAAAGGAAATGCAGAACTTGCTTTCATCAGAAAACATAACTTTGGACCACTCAGCATCAGTCCAGTCCTTTTTGTCCTTGGCCCAGGCGAGACGCTTCTTGCGCTGTTTCTTGTTCAAGAGTGGCTTGACACACGGAATGCGACACCTGAATCCCATGTCTTTCATGAGTCTCCTCGTGGTGGTTCTTGAAGCGCTGACTCCAGCTGCAGTCCACTCTTTGTGGATCTCCCCCACATTTTTGAATGGGTTTGTCGTCACAATTCTCTGCAGGGTGCGGTTATCCCTAGAGCTTGTACACTTTTTTCTACCACATTTTTTCCGTCCCTTCGCCTGTCTGTTAATGTGCTTGGACACAGAGCTCTGCGAACAGCCAGCTTCTTTAGCAATCACCTTTTGTGTCTTGCCCTCCTTGTGCAAGGTGTCAATGATTGTCTTTTGGACAGCTGTTAAGTCAGAAGTCTTCCCCATGATTGTGGTGCCTTCAAAACAAGACTGAGGGACCTTTTAAAGGCCTTTGCAGGTGTTTTGAGTAAATCAGCTGATTAGAGTGGCAGCAGGTGTCTTCTATATTCAGCCTTTTCAGAATATTCTAATTTTTTGAGATACCAAATTTGGAGTTTTCATTAGTTGTCACTTATGAATATCAAATTTAAATGTAATGAACATTGGAAATACATTGGTCTGTGTGCATTGCATGAATATAATGTACAAGTTTCACGTTTTGAATGGAATTACTGAAATATTTTCAACCTTTTGATGATATTCTAATTTACTGGCCAGCACCTGTAGTTTGTTTATTTTCATCCAGCAGAGTGACTCTTGATTATTTCATGAGGGAGATGTTTAAAAACTTCACCACAGAGCAAAGACAAGTGAGGCTGCTCAGTTTGTGGCACTAGCTCAACTTGCCGTAATCCTCAGGTTTCTAAAAGCGCTCCTTCAGGAACAAAGAGAACAAAACTCATGTCAGTACTTAAACCTAGACTGATGGCTGGTAGCATCATAAATGGCTGACATGCAGCACATTGTCCTCTTCCTTTTGTCTAACAGCTGTGGCTAATAACAAGCTTGGGAAATGAACTGTGTGAAACAGAACATGATGCTGAATGGGAGTTTAGCATTATCAGTAGTGCCAAATGACCTGAGACAAAAGCCAACAGGGTGGGGATAATGGTCAGGTTGCTTGGGGGGGGGGGGGGGGGGGGGGGGGGGGGGGGGTTCATCAGCCTGTGTTGCTGAACTGAGGACGTGCATGCAGAGAAAACGAGTAATCCTGCATTAATTTACTTCAGCCTGCTCTCTGGGTTCCCGCCGCTCTGGCACTTCATATATGCCGGGGTGGGGGGAATACAACAGAGGTAAGAGTGGACAGGGTGTCAAATCCCATGGATCCAACAGCACCCCCCCCCCCCCCCCCCCCCCCCCCCCCCCCCCCTCTCATCTGTACGCTCTGCCCTGACCTTGGGTCTTTGAGAGTGTCAGTGTTTTGGCTGTTAAGCCTCTCCTCAAGCAAACAGTAACATAATGATACTTCAAACCCTTCCAGCACCACAGGGTGCCCTAAATAAGCCGGGCTTCCACAGCCTCTTCAGGTCCTTTTGCTTTGCTGTGAATATTAAACTGGACCGAAGAGCTGAGGAATGCGTTAAAACCAGAAGTATGTGTCTGTTGTCCAGATTTGTTACCCTTTACTCACCCTACCTACCTCGTGGGCATTTAAAGTGCAACGCTGTAGGGTAACTAAGACATGGTAACATGCATGGGATCTTTCGCTTAACAGGGTTTAACATGGTAGTCACGGGTAGAGACCACTTTGGTGATATTGTGTGTCAAGTTCCCAGTCAGGTCTTTTCTAATAAGGATATCGATTACATGCTTGCGGGGGGTGGTTCTGGTCTTAAAGGCTGATGTGAGCATTTAAAACCTTAAGCTCTATCTGGGCACAGAGATCACTGGTGCACCATGCTATTGTCTGTGCCTGTGCTGACTGCCACGGTTGTCAGCCGAGAGACAGGCTGAGGGGCCTGTGCCGGGGCTGGGGTTGCCTTTCTGACTGCCTGAAAACAAAGCACCTCCTCTGGCCTGTAATCAAAGCCCTGAGAAATAACAGACGTGACATTCACCTGGACAAACACACATTTGCTTGTTGTGTGTCTGGTGTTCACATCTACCACGATGTGTGCTCGCCCACACTATATGCTCACAATGGAGGGAAAATATCCAAGAAACCTGTTTTTTTTTTTTTTTTTAAGATTTCCCATGCAATAGTAACCAGACTGTCCCCAAGCTGCTTGACATGACTGGAGAAGTGCTTGCGCTCCTACAGTGCCTGGGGTGTTACCTCAGGGATCTGCTGTTGTGTTGGGATTTGAAAAGTCGTCTGTTCTCGGTTTACCCTGAGAAGGAACAGGCTAGTCTGGTGCAGAACAGGAACAAAACTAAACTTTACACATATGCAGTTCATTCCTGCCTGCCTCATATTAATGTAAAGATCAATAAAGCCACTATTAAGTAAATATCTTGAGCGACGATATCTGGAAATGTTTCCAAATGTTTGAGTCGTATTTGAAGTGATTCTTTCCCCAACCGAAACGGTCTCTCACCTGGTTTAATCTGTGGCCCTTTCTTCCCCTCTTTTCTCAGATACGTGGGGGGAAGCTGATGATCACAAACGCCCGTAAGAGCGACGCTGGAAAGTATGTGTGTGTCGGCACAAACATGGTTGGAGAACGGGAGAGTGAAATAGCTGAACTCACGGTTCTGGGTAATGGTCTTTTTTAAAATATTTTACAGCATCTCCCTTAAAGTCATCTTTTGTTTTCATGTTAAAGCAGAACCCCGGGCCCTCATTCATCATCAGTACTTATAAACAGGCCGGTGCGTATGTGGTGTTGGAACGATCTTACCCATTGTGGTATTTATTGCATAACTGGTGTTAGAACCTATAGAAGACACCTGTGACCGATGGGAATCTGACATTGTAGCATGGCTCCTCTTGTGTTATTGGAGGACTTGGCAGAGCATGCACTCTAACCTCCGTGAGTGCACTGATCTCCCCAAAAGAGATCCTTCTGGAGTCATGCCGTCATATTCCATTTTTGACAACTGCGAGAACCCCCGAGACCCTCTTCTGCGCCCTGAACTTACACGCATTGCCATGGTAACGAATCTGAATGAATGAAGCTGCTTTCTCAGACAGTATTTCCAAATAAAAGCAACTCCAAACAGAACATGCATACAACTCCTTAAATGTAAACTGTAAATGAGAACTCGTTGCTCTGTTTAATTTTCTGTTCATTTTTTTCTGGCAGGGACCTTTCCTCTGTCCTGACCGCTTTTACAACCTCAGCAACGGGTTTGGTTCTCTTCTAGTTCGGCAGCTAGTGCCTCGATCTCGCTGTCAATAAAGTTTTTTTTTAATGGGGAAAAACCATCGACATATATACTGGACAATTCGTTTCCATAGGTCCAATTATAAGTTTTTGTGCTAAAATGGGAGGTGGTCACCACCGTTTTTACACTATTACATTTAAATTTCATGGTTAAACCGTACATGTTAAAATCTAAGCTCAGCTCGGCAGTGACCTAAAATACATAAATATAATTTTACTTACCGAGAAAAATGAAGTGGAGACTCCTTGGATGCTCTATTAGTGCAATTAATGCCACAGCAAGTCATTTTGTCCAACAATTGCACAAAAATATCCAAAAAAGAATACACAAACGCTACAACTACTGGTCTAAGTTGAGAGACTGAAAATGGAGTAACATTTTTAAGGCGAAGCTCAGGCTGAGGCCTTTCCATGGAGCTAGCTCTGCGGTCACGTGGGTCTGATGCTCATTAATTATACAGAATTTTAGGCTTTTAATACACTTAAACAGAAGAGTGAGAACAAAATTCACCCCCCTCAGAGTTGTCATGAGTGTAAACTAGATCATTTAAACCAAAAACATGTTTTGGTACCAGGCTGTAAACATGTTTATTTCTGCTGTGAAATTGGTATTTTTAACATGGGAGTCAATGAGGAATTGCTCGCTTCTGACACCAGCCCCTAGTGGATGAGGATGGAACTGCAATTTATTTCACTTCCGTGCTGGCTTCATTTTCAGACCCGAATTACGGGGGCTTGGGAAAAACACAGGGATTCTCTTCATGAGCGGAGGACGTGGTGTGACTAAATATGGTTAATTTTTTACCATATTTGGGTGTGCAAAGGTGGGATTTATCAGCAGTTGATCGCCGTGGAACATATGAACGAGTGACCGCCGCGTATTATGTTAATCAGGATTTCAGCCGCTCCTACAAACATTCTAAATTTCAACCGTAGGATGGAATATAGGACAGTTTCATCCATGAGGGCCCAGGTGTTTAGCCTCTACCTCGCTGAGTACGATTCTACTGTTTTATCACACGCTGTGAGATGAGCGACGGTCTCACGCCAACCTGTCGCAGCACCACCGTTTCTGTAACCAGCTGCACCGTAATGTTTCCATTAGTGACCTTTAACCCAGATTCTCCCATTGCTCCAGCAAAGACCATGTCTAGTCCCATGATATTATCGATTATTTAAAAAAAAAACATTAAAATCTATTAGAAGAGTTCCTACAAAGCTCACATGGTCAAATAAAACGATGTTAACAGTAATAAATCAGAAATGAAACTCCTGACCGCTGAGCTGACATCTCTGGTTAATGATAGTAAAATCACCCTGGATAGGTACCAGGATAGCTTTAACCTCTGATGCTTTAGAGCAGCAGTGGGGGGAGGAGGGTGTTTGTTAGGTTTAGATCATCATATATTTTTACATTAGTAAGAATTTCTGGTTTTAAAAACTTGGGTCACTGAAACAAAGGTTGAATTTAGTCAAATCCTAAGCCGAGGCTCTGGAATTTCTAACAGCTTTATTATAGGATTTTAGTAGTTCCGTGTATATCTGCTTATTAATTGTGTTTTTATTTTTGCTCCATCTCCTCTCTGCCACCCTGCAGTTTCTCTTCAGCTGTTTTAGGTTTTCATTTCTCCGTGGCGTTGCAAGTTTTGACTTTAGTTTTTTAGTTTTTTTTGAACGGAGAAAGCAAGTCAAGAGCAGCTTTAAGTCTGCTGTTAAAATCGTCGACAATAAAATCACGGAGGGCAGATAAATTATTAGAAGGGATCTTTCTAAAAACTTCCATAAAAGCAGCAGCCACTTCAGGGTTAGATGGCGTCTCATTACAGCTCTGACAGAGGTCTCCCGCTGAATAAAACTGGTGATGTTAAAAAACTCACAATAATGGTCAGATATGGCCAGGTCTACAACAGAGGACACACTAGTGGACAGGCCATACGTGAAGACTGAGTCCAGGGTGTGTCATCTGTTGTGAGTTGGCTGCATGATGTTGAGTAAAATCCATAAAACTCAAGATATTTAAAAAAAACCTAAGGCTAGAGGATCTAAAAGGTTATCTACGTGTAGATTAAAATCACCCCTAAAGTAATCCTATCAAAGGAGTTGAGTAAAATAGATAAAAACTCTTGAATAAAAAGTCCAGTCTGCTTCGAAGGCCTATAAACTGTGACACATAAAAACTGAGGCACACTAGAAACAGCTGCGGTGTGCTCAAAAGTGGTCAAATGAAACAGATTTTGCAGCAAGTAAAGAAGAAGATATAAAAGCAGTTCCGCCTCCCTTTTTTCCATTCCTAATTGAATAAATAAAATTAAAGTTTGGTGGGGAGGCCTCTGTAAGAACAACAGGAGCATCTGAACTAAACCATGTTTCAGTTAAAACATTGAAGTTTATTGTCTAAAATCAGGTCATTTATAATAAAATGTTATTATATTTTATTATAAATATCATGTTTTGTGCGGGCTCTAGAGCTGGGATGTTTGTTCTCACGCTGCGGGGGCTCGTTCCGACGCCCACACAGTAAAAAAATAAAAATACAAATGACGACTTTAGTTAATGAGTTAATCTGATGGAACTAAACATGCCACAAATGAGTTTTACTGAAAATAATTAGCTACTTTTTTCTTTGCAGAGCGTCCTAGCTTTGCACGCCGCCCTGGTAGCCAGGTAGTGTTAGTGGACCAAAGTGTCGAGTTTAAGTGTGAGGCCCGTGGCGACCCTGTTCCCACTGTGCGCTGGAGGAAAGATGATGGTGAACTACCAAAAGCAAGGTAGGGCTCTAACTGTAACGGCATTACTTTGCTCTCCTCCTCTTTGATCGGACTGTCTTTAGCTGGTGACTTTACCTGTGTTCATGTATTTACCAACACTTGACTACCTGCTCTACTCAGATATGAGATTTGTGAGGACCACACCCTGAAGATTCGTCGCGTGATCTCAGCTGACGTAGGCTCCTACACCTGCGTGGCCGAGAACATGGTGGGCAAAGCAGAGGCATCGGCGACGCTCACCGTCCACGGTAACCAACAGTTCTGCCTCAATTCTTGACTTTCACATTGTTCTGCATGCTGAATGTAAGCCTCACGACGTCTAGGATAAATGCTCTAAATTCATTTCCATTTTGACCTTTAGTGTGGTTTGGTTCAAACCTAATTTAGCCCAGGTACAATGGAGCTAAAAAGCCATCAGTTTTGCTACTACGTGCTCATCCCTTTAACGCTTCTCTCTCAATTAGCTGATTGATTTATAATAAAAAAGGAATGTGGAAATCCATAACAGCTGTAGAGCTGTGCACAAGGGAACTGGGCAACAATCGATTTCATTTGCCCTACACATGTGACAGTTCTCCAGAGGCCGGCCTTCCTTTATGCTTTAAGACTTACAGTGCTATATGGAATACGCACGTCTCCTGTGGCCCTCTCGACTGGACCTCTTATTAACGCAGTTGGAATATAAAGCAGCTGGTCACAGAGTGTGAACAATCAGAAAGAGACCATTCAAGGAAAATGGGGGTGAAACTCTCCAGAGAGTCAGGGGAACACGGGAGCCATTTAACGCCAAACTAATAGGAATGTTTGGAGTCTGGTGAGACGGGAAGGGGGAGGGGGGGGGGGGGGTGGAAGCGTGGAGCATAATGGGTGGGGAACGGTTAGCGAGGTAGGGTGTGTGTTGGCGTCGGAGAGGTGGCTCAAGAGGCAAAACGGTTAGGGAATTGGGGCTTGGGGCGATGAAGGAGATGGAAGGGGAAGAGGGGATTTCTGATGTGAGGTCAGTCATGTTAATGTCACCGCTAACAGTGTGTGTGAGGCGGAAACTCAAAAAGGCAAGGCAACTCGATTTCCCCCTGCAACCCCCTCCTTTACGCGAACACAGATACTTCATTTTCGCTCGGTTACCCTTTACAATTAATTTCTGATTTTCTATTCAAGAAGAGCGATCTCTAGAACGGTTTAAGGCACAAGATTAGATACACCTGCCAATACGTTCATCAATATATCTACTTCTCTTATTGCTTTTCCCCTGTTTTTTCTCCTCCCCTGATGAAAGGTTAGTTAATGAAAGGGAACAGCATTGATGCATGGCTCAATAAGCGGTTCTCCTGGCTTGAATCATATTTGAAATGCTAAAACCTCCCTTGTCCTCAGTGGAAATTAAATGTCTTAACCTCAGGCCAATTCCCTTCTGCCTGCATGAGGAAGAAAGACACGGACCCTCTTTTCATACATCATCCCTTTCAACCCCCTCAATCTTGTAGAAGTTGGAAAGTGAACTCTCTCCTATTGGCTTTACTCCAGCTAAAAGTTTCTGCTAGTTTTAAGGAACTCCTAGATTAAGTTTAACATTTATTTAAATGCTTAATTATATAGAATACATCATACTGTCCAAATCAGATGGTGAATGATGCCCAAACCAACGATACTTCCTAGAACCATTTGCATCTACAGATCGCTGCGATTTACCCAGTCCAGGATGCAGAGAGGCCAGCACGGCTGTGGGCACGGAGTAGTCCAGCTAATTAGAGACAAGCAAGCCGCGGTCCCACGCTCGGAAATGACATGCTTCTAATTACAGATGCATGCACAGGAATGGAAGGAAAAGCTGGGTAATTGCAGGTCTAAATGGACCAAAGAAGAAGCGATGTATAGGTAGAGAGATGTCGCTGTTGTAGTGAAGAAAACTGCGGGTTTGGTGGGCTCCGTCGTCAGCCAGATTGTTTAGCTGCTGCTGGATTAGAACAATCCGGCTTCAGCGAGAAGGTTGGCGATCAAAAATTTGGGTGTAATTGGTGTAAATATTCAGGTTTATTCCCATCTGAACATTCTGTGATGTATAAATGAAAGATGACGCCAATAAAACAGGATGCAAAAGGGAGTTTCAGCGTATCTCTTACCAAATATTTTATCATCGCATTAGATTCTGTTAAAGCTGCCGTAGAAACACGGTGAGGCACACAGCACTAAGTCCAGCCTTCAGAGCAAATCTCCGGGCAACTGGATTATTCTCTGCCTCCTGCGGTCAGATTGTCAGTGAACAATGGCATCGGTGTCGGAGTGGCGCCTCGGGCCGTTTTCCTTTCCATGTGTTCTGCTCTTGTATAACCTAATCAGTGAATTATTGTTTTACACACGTTTATCAGTCCACTACACATCCCCAGGACTTATAAATGTGTCAGGAGAAACATCAAAGCAGTTGACTGAATACACACATAAATGATGAAGTCGTTTTCGGTCATTTAGACCACGCGAGCATGTGGCACAGATGTTGAATTTGAACAAAGATGAAAGCAAAACTCTGCGTGATCTAAGAGTTGAGCCGTGTCGGGTGTGGTTAGATAATATTTATGTTACATTTAGAAAATAAGCTTTATCAGAAGATGCCATTTAATATATAAATAAGCTATTTTCAGTCAGCATGAAACAGAAGCCAGGAAATGGATTTGTTGTTTTTTTGTTACAAGCGGTTGAGTTTGCTGTTAGCACTGATTTGTGTAAAGAAAAAGTCTTGAAAAGAATTATTGTCCCCTGAGAAGTTTTACTAATAACCCATGTGAAGCGTCTGGGCCGAGGCTCGGAACCGGTGCCAGAAGTGTGTGAATGAGAGGAAGTTTCTCGTCAGCGGTCCGTTTGCTGTTCCAGTCATGATAAATGCTGGAATTTGGTTCGGAGCCATGAGTATATAAATTGTGGGTTTCTGTATATTCTAAAAGATCGACACTACAATAAAGCCTTGACATATAGCTTTAATAGTAAAACCATGAAAAAAAAGCATCTTCCTCTGCTTTGAACACATTAAAACCTCAGAAAACAATCAATCTGTTGCCAAGTAGAAGAGGTGGAAGTTCGAAGTAAATAAATTTAGCCGGTGTGGTACTTCCTACACAATCTGATCCTGAAGAATACCTTTTGTAGTTTTAAGAAAAGCTGAAAACAAAGTATCCAGGGCAGATTTAAAGCTCACCTGTTCCTCCGGTTTCCCGAACATCTCAGGAGAGTTAAGGTTACCTGATTAAAGGCTTAGACGCGTAGGAATGGACGTAAAGGATTTGATGTGTCTAATGTTTGTGTGTATCCAGAGCCTCTCACTAGGGCTGCAAATAACGACAATTTTAATAGTCGACTTGTCACTGACTATTGAAACGATTAGTCGGCTAATCGGATAATTATTAAATTTTTCTTAAATGTAGCAAGAAATTGCTTTAATTATGTGAAAAATGATAATAAACACAACGAAGATGGGTACTTCAATGGAAAATGCATAATTTATTGAACTTTGCTGCTGATAGGCCAATTCATACTAAAAGTAATAAAAATGCCCCGTCTAACACCAATTAGGCACAGTGCTCAGTCAGTATAGACATAAATGCATAAATAAAATTAAAATACTTTAGTCAGACACAGTCGGGCGTAACATTAAATCTCTTTTTTTAAAAGCAAAAATACGTTAAAAAATGTACATCCAAAACAAAACGTATCGGCTTTCGTGTTACTTAAATCTTACCGAGCCAAGTTTCATTCAACTGTCCGACGTGCTTTCTCGTTAAGTGCACCGAGGTGCTGCCATGATACGTGAGGACTGCTTTGCAAATTATGCAGGTCATCTTTTTATTCGCCGAATCCCGGTGTCGGTACAGGATCGGCTCGGGGTCCTTCGACTGCCGATTATGTCACATTGCTGCAAATCTACTCGGCTTCCACACACACGTTTTGGAAAGACATCAGCAGTTGTGTTAATAAATTCTTGTTTGTTAACACCTAAATGTTTTCTTTATAATTGTAATTTGTTAATAAAACACCATATTATCTTTGTTTGGTAAAGAATGTGAAACTGCATAAAACCAACATCGGACTGACAAACAATAGAACAGTTCTTATATGTGAAGCCATATCTGTTTGTATTAATGTGGAGTTCGTCTGTATATTTCCTTAGTTGTTATCTAAATACATTATTTGATTCAAAATATTGCTCAGTGTCTTTCATTAAAGTTCTTATATTTTATTTTGCCCCATTTCATCAACATCAAGAGCTTTTGAGGGTCACCGTTTATCATTTGCTTATATTTTACATTTCCTTTAGAAATTCAAACATATTTTCTCCAAAAAGTGTTGATTTTTGGACTGCAGGACTACAACCGCTAAGACTACGACCGCAAATTTGTTCTGACCAATCAAAATCGTAACGTGATAACGTCAGTTCCGTAAGCTTCATGTTCAGCCAATCAACTACTTTGACGTCATCGGCAGTCGAAGAACCCCAAGCAGATCCTGTACCGACACCGGCTAGAATGCTCCCAAACTTTAGATGTTTTGGTACGCGTAGCTGCGGTGTTGGACGCTGCCATTTCTGTTAGTTGGCGCTCAGCAGAGAAGCTATTGCGCATGTGCAACTCTCGGCAGAGATTGTAATGAAGTGAGATGCCTCACTCGGTCGGAAAAAACACGTCTGGCTACAACGTCGGCAATGAAGTTCATTGTCGACTATTTCCATCGTCGATATTTGTTGACAATGTCGACGAATCGCTGCAGCCCCACCTCTCACACACACACAAATAGTCGTGAGCATCTTGTTCTGGGAGTGTTTGATGTACGTCTTATCTACATTTTAAACGCCATCCATAGACGAGGAGAGGAGGAAGGGTTCGGTCGTTATTCTGACTGACAGCGTTTATGTTTCCTAGGCAGCCGTTGAAGCAGACAGATTAGATAAGACGAGTGATTGGCCGGAGGAGATTTATGACCAGTGAGTGACAGTTAACATTCACCTTGGGTTTTTATGGGCCAGGCTTAACTATGCAGAGCTGCGTGTCTGGAGCTGTGACCTCGCTGCTATTTAGGGTGCTCACATTAAAAGTGCAGGAGTGTCCATCCTCAGACAACACCTGGGTGGCAGAACGCGATGCGTCTGGGTGTAAAACATCTCTTCTGTCCTCGTATGCATTTCATTTTATCCGTAACCTGTTTTCCAATTCTGTCTTGTTCAATCAGGAATTTAGCCACAAGATATTGAACGTATAATCTGCATTTTCCTGTAAATCAGCGTTTTAATGTCGTTTTGCTCACTCAGTAATTACTCTTTGTTCATCTTGCCATCCCTAGAGTTCCAGTTAAACATGAAATATTACGTGTCTTCACAGGACGAGAGCATAATTATCTGCACCCATGGACGTTACAGTTTTATTATTTAAATCTCTCCTCTTGTTGTCATGCTGTTATTTATTTATTTATTCATCCTTGTGTTCTTCTTGTGTTGTTGTGTTTTTGTTTCCCTTTTAGTCATGTCTGGTAAGTTGAAATGTCACCTGTCACCTATTCACCGCCCTGACAGAGACAGGAGGGTGTCACAACCCCCTTCATCCTTCACCCATCACCTCACCACCCTTCACACCGCTCTCATGTCTCTGTTGTCATGGGCAACAGCGACAAAAGGACATTAGTGGGTAAAAATAAATGCTCATCTTGTGCCTCCAAGGTAAAGCAGCATCATTTCATTTTGTTTGTATGTATTTATTTATTTATCTATTTGACATCTTACGCGCTCCCTCTAAAAGACAAAAAGTCATCCTTGTGGAAAAATGGTGCCTGAATTTCAGGCGACAGCTTTGAGATTGCCTTTTCTAAGTAGTAAACAGACCCTGTTTAGAGGTTTTAAATGATTTTAAACTTTTAGCACATGACTGAAATGAAAGGTTTGAACTCGCCTGCGTTTTGACCTCTAAAATAAAACGGCGTTTCCCTACATAAACTTTTATTAGACTAGTAACACCACAGATGTACGTAGCTGCCATTGACTGATGTCACTGCTCTTTATTTAAGACGTTATTTCTATTAGAGCATACATGAATACTGATTTCTGGTTGAGGCCTGCACTGTTGCAGGCTGTTGTCGTGGACAGATGGCTCAAATTGATTCCCCATTTCAATGTAAATTTTAATGATCCGTGCCTTTGCCGATGCAAATGAGGAGCATAAGATAACCCTTGTTTTTTCTAGTCATTACAATTTTTATAGGTTTGCATTTTAATTTGAACATTTGTTTAATCTGCTGTGCACTCACCAAAGTCACATTTTAAGAGATTTAAATACAAAAGTCTATTTTCCTTAGTTCAGCCTTCTGGTAACTGACCTATTATGACTTGTATTGCAGCGTACTGACATGCTGCCCTGTTCTGTGGCTAACCGTTTTCATGGCTGTCCTGCAGTGCCCCCAACATTTGTGGTGAGACCAAGGAACCAGGTGGTTGGAGTTGGGAGAACCGTCACTTTCCAGTGTGAGGCAACTGGAAACCCACAGCCAGCCATTTTCTGGCAGCGGGAAGGCAGTCAGGTAAATGAAAGAAAATGCTATTCAGGATTTCATTTCAAAAGTCCTTCCAAACTTTGGAAAACGACCATTTGTAGACATTTGTTACACTTTAACTGACGCCGTAATCCAAGAAGTCTTTAAATAAGAGAGTATCAGCCAGATCTTTTCCACTGCAACAACTTTTGTAGATAGATGAGGGGAGAGTTTAGGGGATAAAACTTAACTGGGGGGCGGTGTTAGGGTTAGGCTTTTTTGTGTTTTCCTGGAAGTTGTTTCTTCTGGGGTGTCTCCATCCGTGGAACCCGTCAGTAACCATTTTTATTTGGTTTTTGAGTGATAAACTGTGAGAACTCAGAGACAACTCTCTGAAACGGATCGGAAACAGAACAGAAAGAAAGTATCTGACATTCCGGGAGGTACAAAGTTGTGAATAAAACTGTAATAAATTCTGAACAAAACAATACATCATTTAGATGCTTGGTGACTAAATGTGAGTAGAAAACGTTATTTGCCATTTCAGCACAAGTTCCTTAACATGTCAGTAATTCTGTCATTCATACGGGCTTGCTATAAAAATGGCATCTTGCCATCGATGCTGTTGAAACGTCTGTCCTGTTGTACTTCACAGAACCTCCTGTTCTCCTACCAACCTCCTCAACCCTCCAGTCGGTTTTCTGTATCTCAGAGCGGAGACCTGACCATCATCGACGCTGAACGTTCTGACATGGGATACTACAGCTGTCAGGCTCTGAACATTGCCGGAAGCGTGATCACCAAGGCTCTGCTGGAGGTTACTGATGGTAAGCTACTTGTTTTGCCTGCATCAAAGCTTGAGAGAGACTTAGAAGCACTGGAAAGGAAAGCTGAGTGTAGAGGTATCGGGCGTTTAGATAATCCCGAGCTTGTGAGTATAATATTGTTCATCTGTAGTTCTGTGGTTGTTCTCTAAAGCGTATTAATATCCGGATTGAGGTTTCCGAGGTTTGGTCTGGCCTCTTCGAAGTGTTCCTGTCAAGCGATAGAGACTTTCTGGTGCCTGTGCACCCAGATCATGGCTCACTATTTGGCTTCACGCTGCCTAACATCTCCTTTAGTCTTCCACGGCTGGCTTGCTGTAGTCTACCGTTAGAAGACTGTGGCTATGTGGTGAGGTCTGGACTGAGTCCTTTAATTACCCTCCTAGCCAATCGCTGTCAGCCGTGTGGACGAACTATGCCTCCCTCCTACCATTCCCACAGTTATCTGGGCATCTATTACTTTGTCTACAGCACACCTAGATTCATCCCTTCATTTACCAAATGTCCTTCCTCATTTAAGGCCTACAGTGGTATGCTGCAGCTCTCCCTGCTGCTCTCCCTCTCTCTCATTCTGCCGTGCTCTCTGGATAATAATAACAGTTATTAAAGTGAGCAGGCTACTCTGAGGCCACCACTTCTCCGCAGGCAGATCTGGTAATAACAGGTCATGTTGACATTGTTTTAGTAATTGTACCATCCTTTACACAAAGCGCAGAGACAAAGCAGCCCACAGATTACACCGCAGCATCGCTCCAAAGATCTATATGCACATACAGGCATCATTATGTTGTGCCTTACACTATTTGAAATTAGTTTGAGTTTTCCTCTCTGGAGGGTAATTTGCTGGCCAATCAGACGAGCTGACAGCAGTGGTCATCAGTGGTGCAATGAATTATCATTAGGGATGAGCGAGTACACCACTATCTGTATCTGTATCTGTTCAACCATCTGAATTATCTATATCTGTACACTGAGTGGGCGTGGCCTAACCCAGAAGTGGGTGTGGTTTACGTTATTTAAAGTCTGAAATTGATATGGATTGATCAGAAGTTGCTGTGTGTATTGTTTTTTTTAACTGTTTACAGAGTAGCCTCAGAATTGAGATTAAATATTTTTGATCACAACAGTAAAGGAACTTTTACAGAACAAGTTTTTCAATAAAATCTGAACATTATTTAAGTGCATGAATTAATAGAGAGCGAGCGAGAGGGAGAGCGAGCGAGCGAGAGAGGGAGAGCGAGAGAGGGAGAGCGAGCGAGAGAGAGGGAGGGAGGGAGGGAGGGAGAGAGAGAGAGAGAGGGAGGGAGAGAGAGAGAGAGAGGGAGAGGGAGGGAGAGAGAGAGAGAGAGAGAGAGAACGAGGGGAGCGGAGGCAGTGGCCGACGCAGCACGAGCCATTTTCTGCTCTGTCTCGTCAAATGCACCACGTACGTTACGAAAAAAGTAACTTTAAATATTAAACCAAAAAAGAGGCGAGCTGAAGAAAACCTACGGAGTACTGAAGAAACGTGAGCAACAGTGAAGCAAGCACAGAGAGACCCGTTACTGTGTGTGTGTGCGTGGATGCATGGACCGGACTGAGACTGCAGAGTGTAGGAAGGGGTGGGCACTCCATGTGACTGCCAATCACAGAGCGTGAAGACAGTCAGTTACCCAATGAGGATTTTCCTTCAGATATTTACGAGTTTTACTCGTTTCATGCTCAAATTCGTCAAAAATGCGTTATCCGTACCGGATACTCGCCTGAAACGAGTATCCGGCTCATCCCTAATTATCATATCATTACTAATGGGAGGGCGGTAGATCTATTGTAGGCATATGATAAAAGAACAGCAGAGACGAAATAATGAAAAAGTGGTATGTGTAATAAACATTCGTGTGTCTTGTGCTGCACTTGTTTCCTTCATTAAAACAAACACTCAGCTTTTCTCTTTACCGTTGTTGCTTCTGGTTGATCGCCCAGCATCACACAAGTTGTAAGGCACCATGTTAATATCTCTTCTGGCTTTATTCATTAAGCCTGTCACCTGTTTGTCTGCTGGAAGGCTTTTGAATTGTTGCCTGACATTCTACCATATACCTTTACGTATGTAGTGAATCTGCTGTGAAAGAACCAAGGCTGTTTCGTTTTAATTAGAATCCCATTATTTGGCCGAGATCAACTCCCGCTGCTGCGCGATTGGAAAATTACTTTGAGTTCTTAACAATAATTGTCCAATACTCACCATTCGTGTTTATTGTCCCCCAGCTGAATACAATTGACTCAACCGTAGTTCCTGCTTGCACGGCTACAGCAGATTTGCAGCCTCTGCCTATCCTTATAATTGCCTATTCTCCTTCCGTTTTGCACAGTGGTGTCAGACCGCCCGCCTCCAGTTATACGACAGGGGCCAACCAATCAGACCATAGCCGTGGATGGTACTGTGATCATGAACTGTGTGACATCTGGGAACCCCACCCCCACCATCTTGTGGAGGAAGGATGGAGTGCTAGTGTCCACACATGACTCCCGTGTCAAACAATTGGACACAGGCGCCCTGCAGATACGATACGCAAAGGTAAGACCTGTGTGTGTGTGTGTGTGTGTGTCCTCCTACATATAGACTGTTTTTTTTTTCAATTAAGATTTCCAGATATGCTGCCTTTAATGTCTGACTCCATTCCAATAGACTTCAAAGTTTTCTGTACCACATCCATAATGAGCTTGGCAATCCCCTGCTGCTTGGTAAATAAAGCATGTGTTTCTGCCAGCACCCGGCACTCAGTGGGCTGTCAGTCAGTTGTCGAAGGTTTGAAATGGAGCTTGTGAAGTTGAACACTCCACAGTTCCTGTCAGTCAGCAAGCGCAGTGTTTTTCTGTGTGTCATTCCTCGTGCGTCCATATGTGCAGGCAAGATGGCAGGCCGTGTGATGCTGAACACTCTTAGGCAGAGACAAGTAGGGGGTGCTGACACGCATTCCAGATTGAGGCATCAAGGGGTCAGAGATCACGTCAGTTTGCGGTGTTCTGATGAATGCTGGCATGTCTTGCAGTGACAAGATTGCGTTGTGATTGGGATGCCGGTGCGACGCAGGCAGGAGGCGATGCATCTGAGTCACTCTCGTGGTGAAGAGGAATAAACTCTGCAGACGCTTTACATTAATGAACTCATCATATCTCCTAGACAACATTTTAATGAAGACATTTTTGATGCATGGCCTGTAATTTTCCTGAAATGACTTTAATGTGTGCTTTGATTTCGAGTTCAGTAGATTTCTGTCCTTGCAAACTGAAATATTCACACTGCTGGCACTTGGCAAGGCGTGCTTGTCTCCCATTATTCAAACAATTTATCTCCCTCTCCTCTTTACTGTTTATTTTGCACAACACAACAGCCCTTAGTAGACTATACATCACCAACAAAGCAAAACAGAATTATTTGTCTTACACAGGAGTTTTCTGCGCAGTTGCCTTTTTAAAAATGCAGTATTGTGAAAAGTATGTTGTTTTCGTTGGTCTAGCTAGATTAGAAGGTAAAATATAGCTGAAAGTCGCCAGTAGTGACTGGTTTGGGTGATAGTTTTAGACACCAATGTCCAATTCTAATGTTTTACTTTGTTTTCTGGGCTCCTAGACTTTGATTTCAAATACTGTTTGGTCCCTCCTGCATCTTTCTCATAGTTGCGCTAGAGATGATCCGGTGATTACCAGGACAGCTGCCTGAAACATACCATTCAAATATCAATGAACGATAGTTTAGGGGACAGAGAGTGAAGGCCTACAACACAGGGAAACAGTTGGACATATTTGAATAATTTCCGTTGAATCAGGTTTTCTCTCTTCTACCCTTGCAGCTTGGAGACACAGGCACCTACACCTGCATCGCCTCCACTCCAAGTGGAGAAGCCTCATGGAAAGCCTCTTTAGAAGTCCAAGGTAAAACTTACTTTAATGTGACGTCCAGCAGTCGGATAGTGCCCATTAATAGCTTAACTTCTTTTTACGTAATGATATGTTGTCACATTAGTCAATTGGTTTTAACACAGCTGGATTTTCATGTCATTTTCCACATTTTCATTTCTATATTTAGAATTTGGAGCTCCAGTCCAACCAAACAGACCCACTGACCCAAACCTAATCCCCAGTGCCCCTTCACGACCAGAGGTTACCGATGTTACTCGTACCTCCATCACACTCTCCTGGAAGCCTAACCTTAATTCTGGAGCTACACCCACGTCCTACATCATAGAAGCCTTCAGGTGAAGTTTCTCAAATTGATCATACATTTGTAAAATAAATATTTATTTTAAATCTATTTCGTTCTGCTTTGGGTTCACAGTCACGCATCAGGGAGCAGCTGGCACACCTTGGCTGACCATGTTAAAACGGAGTCATTTGTACTGAAGGGTCTCAGGCCCAGTGCAGTCTACCTCTTCTTGGTGCGTGCGGCCAACGCCTATGGGCTTAGTGACCCCAGTCCTATATCTGATGCTGTGAAAACCCACGGTAAGAACTAACCTTGTAAATTACTTAGTACAAGCTTGCTTGATTACTTCAGTTGTATTCACATGGTTTTTCGTACATAGATATCCCTCCCACCAGTCAGGGTGTGGATCATCGACAAATCCAAAGGGAACTGGGAGAAGTGGTCATCCACCTGCATAACCCTACCATCCTTTCCTCCTCATCAGTCAGGGTGCAATGGACAGTGAGTATGATTTTCTGCAGGAATGTTTTATAATCAATTTTCCTCAAAGATGTGTTCTGATGATATTTAACTCCATTTCTGTGTGAAACAGTTAGAGCTTTTCTTACCTTTTGTGGAACACTTCCTGAACAGCCTTGAAAAGTTCAGGAGAAAAGTTTTTTATGTTGCTGGTAAACGTTCTCAGTCATCCAGTAGGGGTTGTATGAACTAGTCGACTAGTCGACTTCACGGCTCTGTAGTGACTTTTTATGCCTGTCATCGACTAGTCGCTGTCACGTGATAATGACTGACAAGATGCAGTCCTCGGAAAAGACAGCAGGTGATGAGCCCCTGCGCGTCGGGAGGCGGAGGCGACGCGCTGTGCCAGAGCGTCGGTACGGACACCGGCGGTAAAACGGACATTTAACTAAACTGTGACCGTTTCCCTCTTGCAATTTAACCTTCCCCTCACCCCCATCCTAATCTTAACCAGTTTGCGCATGCAAAGCTCTGATCGTTGATGCGCTCCAGACATTGCGTCCTGAGCACCGCCAAATCAGGTGTCGCCACCTCAAAAACAAATTAAACACGCGATCGTTCATGTCGGCTCATTTCCTTTAATGTTTTCTGTCTGTTATTTGTGCTTGATGCGTTTCGCAGCTGCGAAGCGAGGCACATCACCTGTTGTCCTCCGGTGATGCACCCCCAAAATTCCACTATCTCTGCTCCGCTCCAGCACGAACTCCGCAGCAAAAACGGTCCCGTTGTAGTCGGCCGGCAAGCAGCGGCACTCCGCTGTTTTTGTGGTCGGTAGATCTTTTAGAACTGCAGTTCAAAGGTAACTCATAAGGTGAATATATATGAACCCAGGTAGCAGTTTTTCTTTAGGATTGAGAGGAGATGCAGGAAGATAATAAACAGGCAGGACAGAAAAATAGTCAAATAAAAACAAGTTAGTTTTGGTACCTGGTGGGTGCAACAAACAGACACCACTGAAGGTAATCAGAAGTGAGGAACAGAAAATGAAATAATTATTTTAATGTTTAGAGCAGCAAGAACTCTTAGAGGCTGCAGGGAGTTTGCGGCCGCTGCGCTGGGGGAGGGGGGAGATGGCTGAAGTAGGATGCAGAAACTACAGTTGTTTAAAGAGATGTGTTAACTTAGAAAATGTGGGCGCAATTTTACTTGTCAAAAACTCCAGCGAACCTACCGACCCCCCCACCCCTCGTGCCGCTTCAGGTGTATGACGTCATCAACGACTAGTCGAAGTCGACTCGATTTTCATTACTTGACTGTCGACTTAAAAAAAATTAAGTCATGTAACCCCTATCATCCAGGTCATGGTCATCCAAGGGGTTCAAATGAAGGCAACCAAAGAAGTCCAGTTACCTTCATTTGAACCCCTTGGGTATTTTATGTTTTACCAGACTAAGAAATGGGTGCTACCAAAAAGAAACTTTATGCAAACATTGTTTTAAATATCTTTACACAGATGTCATTTTAGCATTTTGATGGTTTTTTTAAATGCCAAATAGAAATAAAATTGTGCTTCATTTGACCCCTACATGCTACATTTCGTTGCAATAGAGTTTCATGAAATAACTATAATGCAAACACATGGCAGTGTAAAGCATCAGCAAACGCTGCTTTCATGTTGGAAACTGGGGCTGTTTTTAAATGACGGTAATCCTCGTTGGTTTAGGCTGCACCCGTGCATATAAAGCAATAATAAAGCATTCTATAGTCTGAAAACTGCAGAAAAGATTTTGAAAAGAAGTTGAAGTTCTTTGAGCCCATATGGCATGAGCCAGAAACCAGAACATCTGAAGCTTTTTCTGCAGCTGAACCATCCATCCGTAGAGCTAAACTGCAGAGAGCCATGCCGTACAGCAAACCAGTGCGTAGCGTGCCAGTGTGTGCCCTCCCAGATTGGAAACATTTCACGACTGTTAAAACAATACAGCTGAGTAGGAAAAGACTCTCTTGCTCTTAAGTGGAAATAGCTTACAGATGTTAAAATCAGATAGGTGGTGAAGTACAGTTTGGAGCCAACGTCGGAGTTTTTGTGCTGCTACGAACATATGAGGTACTAATTCCCTCCTGTAATAGATCTGATTAGATTTTCTATTTGAGAACATATTAAACATAATGTTGCTGAATGCCCCATGCTAAGTATAAGTCTCCGGCCAGAACCACCGAAGGATGAAAACAATCCCCGTTTCCCTTTCGCCAAAAAGCCACCCCCTACATTCTTAGGTATTATGAAGTGTCACTGTGAGTGATAGATGGGAGATGAGGATCCAAGGAAAGGACACTGGCATGTCAAGACTGATTTAAAACATTACTGTCCAGTTACTGTGTCTCACTGGATTGTTCCAGTAAAACACACGACACGGGGGGAGCTGACATCGTAGTTAAGTGACAAAGTCCTCTTGTTTTATGGCGTTAAATGTATTCCCAATGTGGAGTTCTTTGGTTTTTACATTTTCCCTTGTGTTGTGGTAAATGGCTGCAAGATTTTCCAGCTAATGAAGACCACCTGACCTGGCAGCATGTTTTATAGAGGAGCGATAAAGAAATCACTAAACTCTTTACAAGCCAGTGCTGGTTGCTCTCCGTTGGGGTTTGATGGAAAATTAGCGTTCTGGTTAGCCGATCTTTTCTTGACTCGCGCTGCACTGCAAAGCAACATTAATTATTAACTGATTAAAATAACAGACAAACCATATCAGTTTGAATGACTCTACATCCGACACAGCTTAACTTCCTGTAGTGTCAACTATTCACTCTTTCCTGACTTCAGCAGTCTTTGGAGAGCAGGACAGGATGAGACAGGCTGTTCTGGGAGTATGGGCCCTATTTAACCAACTCCAGACTTGGAGGAACCTTTGGCCAATGACCTCATAGTGCGGTTTGCACAAATCACTGCTGCTCCAAATGGAGCGTAGACACAGTCAAAAGGAGAGATGGAGATGTGCATGAATAAACAGATGAGTGATGGGATGAATTAGCACCTCATTCTGTGCTGTGTCTGGAGCATTCAGCCACCCTAATCTATATTTGTCTCTCGATGCTACTTTGCCACATCTTTCTTTTTATTTTTTTTACCATGAACAGTGAAACGTGAAACTTACTGCTTCATCTGTTCTCTTGTGCCATTCACCAGGCAGAGCAGCAGTCACAGTACATCCAGGGCTACAAGGTAATGTACAGGCCGTCGCCCGAGGGGCAGCAGAGGAGTGAATGGGCCGTGTTTGAGGTGCGGACCCCTGGAGAGGACAGCGCTGTGGTGACGCAGCTCCGAAAGGGCATCACGTACGAATTCAAAGTCCGCCCTTTCTTCAACGAGTTCCAGGGAACGGACAGCGACGTTAAAATTGGCAAGACACTTGAAGAAGGTGTGGGGGGATGTGGATGTCTGGATGCGAGTGTTTGTTGGTGCCTCCATGTGTGCGTGCATCTTTTCTTGTGTACACAAACACACTTTTATCCGAGCAGCTTGCGTGTGTAAAAGCATACACCAGCTGTTCGTGGCAGGCAGGATCATATTGTGCTGAAATGTGGCGTATTTACAGCGTGCTCGGGTTTTCTAACCCATACACAACACTCCAGTGCATGTGCTGTACTAATTTTTTCAGAGGGTGTGGTGGTTGCAGTGTCTTGAGGTTTGGTTAAAACCCAACTGCAAATTTTAATTTGTAGCGACCGGTTCAAGAGAAATGTGAGTGTGGAGTGTTTACTGGTGTGTGTGCTTTGATTCTTTGCGTTAAAAAGCATTAAAACACAGTTTCTTGTTTTCTTTAAGTCAGTTGTAAATATGATTTTTACTCATTAACACATAATGTTAAAATCCTCCTTTTGCCGTATGACCATTTAACCGCAGGCTTTCAGCACCACGCATGCTCTTACAGTAACTTCCCGATGAGTAAACAGTTGTTTACCTATGAAAGCACTTAGGGGCCACTTCAGTTTTTTTTTGTTCAAAGCTTTGTAATTTTTATGATTCGTCGTTTGTTCTCGCATCCGCTTATTCTCTCACCGACTCAAAACCTGACAGCTAAATTTCACAAGTGAGGATGAGATGGACTGAGTGTGGTCACACAAACATGTGTCATGTATAAACATGTGTTTCCTTTTCTTTGTCTCTCCCTCCCAGCCCCCAGTGCCCCTCCCCGTAAGGTTACAGTGATGGAAAGCCGGGACAATGGGACTGCCATCGTCGTCTCCTGGCAACCTCCTCCAGAAGAGGAGCAGAATGGGGTGGTCCAGGAGTACAAGGTAACAAAAACACAGCCAGCAGTTATTTCAGGTCCGAGCAAATGGGACGTGTTCTTGTTCAAACATAATAGAGACACAAACATGGCTGCAGACAAAAGCGAGGGAGACATGGAAAAGTAATGCGTTCTTGGTTGAGGTGTACCTTTGTGCATCCATCAGTATGTGCTGAGAGACAACAGAGAAGAAAGGAGCTGTTGGGGACCGTTGGGAAATGGTGCCATCTAGTGAAAATAGTAAAATCTCACAGAATGTTTTTTTTTTTTTTTTTCCATTTGTAGCCAGCAAAGGTCTTCTTGGCTTTAGTGGTGATTTAAAATTAAGGGCATAAAGCTTTAGCTTCCTTTTATCGGGTTATGTAATTTTGTATTTAGGAAAAGAAAAGCATGTAAAAGAGAAATAAAAAAGAAAATTCTAAATAATGACTTAAGGCGTAAAATAGTGTAAATCCAAATCTTCCACATTTTTAAAGGTGTTGACCTGAAATGTGAGCGTCGCGCTGGGCTGCAACATTCAGAAACTACTTGGAGACACAAATTGTCCATTTTAAATAGTAAACACATTTTATACATGGCCAGTTCATGCTTTTAACTCATTGGCTGCCAGCCGTTAGCTGAACAGAAAGCCTGTGGCTGCCAGCGTTTTAGAGCATTTTACTGTTTTTTGAACAGCCAGAGAAAATTGTGCTCCATGACCATATAAACACCAAAACTACCAGAAGAAAGAGTAGACTCAGTTCTCACATCAGGAAGAATCAGCATGTTTGTAGTTTTTTCCGTTTTCACAATCCGATGTCGGAGTGTGAGCTGCAGAAGCTTTTTCCGGTTTACGCCTCGCTTTAGGCATAGCCGTTGTCGTCGTCTTTTCCTCCGCTTATCCAGGTCCGGGTTGCGGGGGCAGCATCCCAACTAGGGAGCTCCAGACCGACCTCTCCCCGACCTTCTCCACCAGCTCCTCCGGCAGGACCCCAAGGTGTTCCTGGACCAGATTGGAGATGTAACCTCTCCAACATGTCCTGGGTCGATCCGGGGGCCTCCTGCCGGCAGGACATGCCCAAAACACCTCCCCGGGGAGGCGTCCAGGAGGCATCCTGACCAGATGCCCAAACCACCTCAACTGGCTCCTTTCGATCCGGAGGAGGAACGGTTCTACTCCGAGTCCCTCCCGAATGTCCGAGCTCCTCACCCGATCTCTAAGGCTGAGCCCGGCCACCCTACGGAGGAAACTCATTTCGGCCGCTTGTATCCGCGATCTCGTTCTTTCGGTCATTACCCAAAGCTCATGACCATAGGTGAGGATTGGGACGTAGATCGACCGGTAAATTGAGAGCCTGGCTTTCTGGCTCAGCTCCCTCTTCACCACGACAGATCGGCTCGAACCAATCCGCCTGTCGACCTCCCGATCCCTCCTACCCTCACTCGTGAACAAGACCCCGAGATACTTAAACTCCTCCACTTGAGGAAGGCATAGCGGTGTCCCAAATCACACGAGAAGTGCAACACACATGGATGAAAATCAACTCTAGAGATGTTTACTCTCAAGGTGCACAAAGTTGTTCCCAAGCCCACCCAATTAAAAAAAAAAACTATTGACATTGGTAGCCAGCGGTTGGATAAAGAATGCCGACTTTAGTCTTTGAAACAGAAAGTTCAGTCTTTGTGCACCCCTCGCATCCACGAGAACTGGAGCTTTTTAACAAAGACAACGAGTAAAGGTAGCTCAACGTGGGAAGGTTTGCCTTGACGTTTGGGGTCTGGGGGTGATTACATCTCCCCATTTGTTTTTCACTGGTTCACGGCCACGCTTGGCTTGTTATGGCTACCTCAGGTGAAGCTGCCCTGGGTTAATGGTAGTCTTTAAAACAAGTCATGTCATAGAATATTTTCTTACTGCAGAAATGTAACACAATACCCACAGCTTGCTAAAATAGTGGCAGCGCCTGAACTGAATTTTTGTCGCAGAAACCTTGATTTATTCTTCTGTTTGTCTGTCATGGCAGATTTGGTGCTTGGGGAATGAGACCAGGTATCACGTTAACCGAACAGTTGACGGTTCAACGTTATCGCTGCTGATACCTAGTTTGACCCCTGGCGTCCGCTACAGCGTGGAGGTGGCAGCTGGCACCAGCGCTGGTGCTGGGGTCAAGAGTGACATCGCCTTCTTTCAGCTGGGTGAGTAGAAACAACCTTTGTAACTTTTCGGGGCATGAGTGTGTTCTCTCTGAGGCCTCCGGCCTGAATGAGGCCCAATCAGTTGATAAATAATTACAGCATTAACCCGTCTATCCGAAGTAAAGAGCTTTTATTATGACCTTCTGCCAAGTAAATAGGCATTTATGTAATTCCCTTCTTTGTAGTAGCAGACACGTTCAAGCCTCCACCTGCTCTCCCTTTCATTATCAACAGTGATGCTCAGAACTATAATTTAGTTCATTGCTGTTATACAAACATCATCAGGCTTGCCACAGAAAAAGATGAGGACTTTGAATGACAAGAGGAAGCTGGCGTCATGATCAGAACAGGGACGTTAAATTCTTGTGTGACAGCTGCAGAGCCGAGCGCCACGCCCTTTTCCCTTTTCTAATCAAAGGTGGAAAGTTTTCCGTTTCAGAATCAGAAGGGTTCAAATCACAACGTTAGGAAACTGGTGTGGTACCTGGTGCAAACAGAAAGATAAAAATAGATCATTAACACAGGAAGTACGAATATAATCGTGATATTTCAGTCATGGCAAAGAACTCTGACATGACGCATTATTCATGCCAAGACTGTAAACAAAGCAGTTTTTTTAGCTCTTTTTGTGCAACCTTTGGAAAACGCTTGGAGGGATTTTTTTGTTGTTGTTGCCATCTTTAATTTCCTGAACCTGTGAGCTAGCCCGCTAATGGGTCTGACAGAAAAACGGTAAAAACAGGATGAGGCGGCGAGAGAGATGGCTCCATCTGGTTTTAAATGTGTGATTGAGTGGGCCGGGATAGGAATGAAGAAGCGTTCCCTGTGACTGAAACAATTTATCTCACTTGAAGAGTTCCTGTGGTGATTGTTGCCATGTTCCAACACTGGAGCGGAACAATGCGCCTTGGGGACCGGCGCTTCACCCAAACGCATTTGTCACACCGAGCTCGTATGCATCATCCTAGCCCAGATACCTGAGCAGTCCCTCGTGGGCTGCTTAGTCACATTGGTAGGCTCCGATCCCTGGGCCGGACAGAGCCACAAGCTGAGAAAGACAGACGTGAGGAGCGATGAAGCCAAATGGAGACAAACTGATGGATAGGAAGGAATAAGAAAAGATATGGAGGTAGGACAAGAGGGCTGTTTGAGGGGCGTGTTTAGGTTTTTGAGAGATGGTAGAGAAGAATAGCTACAACATGAAGGATCTGTGGGAGAACAGAAGACAAGGTAACGAGGACATAAAAACATCAGAATGGCAGAGGGCGGGGCAAGTCTGAGCAGTCTTTCATGTTTCAGACATCAGGGAGAAGCAGACAGATGAAAAAAGCAGATCAAGAGCAGATTGTTGTGAGCAGACGGCATCTGAACAGCAGAACCGGCTTTGAGGCATTCATGTCGTCTCAGTTAGCTAATTATTGTGGTGTCTGTAATCTCTCTGGATGTATTTATATGTTTGGGAAACCACCATTGCTTGGAGTAAACAGCTGCTTTAGGAGTTTTCCTGTCTGGTTTTATCAGACTGCTGTGGTGCATCAGATCTGTTCACCTGCTTTTGTTGACTGGGATTTGCAACAAAAGCTGTCTGAATAACACAAACCGCTTCTCTCTGACAACTCAGTTACCCACAGGATGAAAAATAAAGCTCTTCAACAGTTTAAAGGACATCATTTCTGCAACAAGTTCTGTTTATTCTCAACAAGAAACAAATCCAACTCTTTTTTTTCTCAGTATGAATCTGTCATTGACTAATCTCACTTGTATTCACAAACACTTAAAGAGCAAGTCACCCCCTACCAGATTCTTACTCAACTCGCACTTCCTGTTTGAAAAATTCAACAAATGCTGTTGCCTAGCAGACCGAGGGCTGAGCCGCTAACAAATACACACACTCACGACATTGTGACATCATAATGTACCATCTAACATCATAGTGTACCTCTTAGCCAATAGGGACGGCAGATTTAAATTCAAATGCAGTGCTGAGTTTTTACCTGATGATGGTGCAACACTGACAGTTTTAGGCAGAATATTTAAATTTTAACTAAGATGCACTAAAGTGCCGAATTTTTGACTACACGTGTCTGCAGCACCATCAGACACTCATTTATGTAGTTTATCAGCGAAACATTTCATAATCAGTCAATTGCGATTTTTCCTCACATCCCTACTACGTCCAGATGCTTCTGGACGGATGACGGAGACCGTGGACCAGGAGAACCCTCTGTCCCAGCAGATCTCAGATGTGGTCAAGCAGCCTGCCTTTATAGCAGGCATTGGTGCCGCCTGCTGGATCATCCTCATGGTCTTCAGCATCTGGTTGTACAGGCACCGAAAGAAAAGGAACGGCCTGTCCAGCAGCTACGCTGGAATTCGCAAAGGTATTTACAGAAATACAATTTCCTCTTGTTGGTGCATCTACACATTTATACTCTGTTGTGTTTTTAATGTTCTTTCTTATCCAAAATGCTGCCAAACTTGCCTTCTGTCTTCGTCACTGAGTGATTTATTTGTGGAGCACTTGAGGTAAACTCTAAGAAGCAACGTGAGTTCCCATTGAGAGTGCAGCATGAGAACATCCTTTATTTTCTGCTGTCATGCTCATTCTGGGAGGTTGTGAAGAGTGTTTTCAGTCAGATACACTCCAAGGGCCAACAGTTCCCCCCAGACTGTGCTGGGAAAGCAAATGTTTTTGCTACAACTCCTTTTTATCAAGGACAAACTGACATTTTCACACGTGTTGGGTTTTCTTATCCGTTAAAAACAAGTCGCTCATGTGGAGGAGTTGGTCATTCTGCAATAGTCATGCTACTTTATGTGTGCTTTAGACATTTGAGATGATCCAAGTACGTTTGGTTTGCATGTCAAATTTTGTAGAGCCGCCAGACCGAAACACAATGACTACCTGATTTGAGCTGAAGTGACAGAGTTCATGACACACTCAGCCTCTGCCCACAACAGCTAAAGTCTGAAAACAACCATTAGCCTTTCTGTCTCAGACTCATTTTTGTGTGAGCTGGCTTAACGCGTGGCCTCGGGCTGTGCAGCTGCGAGCACTACCTGCTCCATCCCCACTTCTTGGCTCAGGTTTAATACCGACTGCCAGAGTGAGAAGAGATCAACTCCTCAACCCTGATGCACAAACAATGAACTGATTTAGCTGTTAATCCGTGGCTGCCAAACAGAAAACACAGACCATCCATTTCCTGGGTCTGCCGCATCCACAGTTGTTGAAAAATGGCAAGTGAGAGGCACCTCGCCAAGGATTTCTTCCACGGACACTTTAAACACGTGTGTGGTCCGCAATGGCTAAAGCTATTGTGTTTTCACTTATGTATTGGATTTCAGAATGCAGTAATGGCCTGCGGTCAGGCGTGAGGGACGACTGCCACGTAGAATGAGGTTATCCTTTGTCCTTCTGTGATTCTATATGTTGATGTTTACCCAGATTAGAAAAAAATGAGCTCTTCAGGGAACAGTAGGCAGACATGCTCCCCTCCTCCTCCTCCTCCTCTTGCACCCAGACCACAAAAGGCCACAGTCTTCGTTAGATCTGGTATCCAAGATTGTTTTCAAAGAGTATAATTGCAACCACATGAATCAACAGTCTGCTGTCAGGGTGAAAGAGGTTGAATCGGGACTTGTGCTGAAATGTATGGTGGTATTACATCCAATGGATAGCTATTCAGAAACATTTTTTCTACTTCAAAGAAATTCAAACATCTTCAGCTGCATTGATTCAAACATCTCGAGACACATCTATATGGAAAAAATAAACACAGGTTACATCAGTTTGCATCACTGCGCTGAACCAACCCCGTAAGCAATGCTGCAGAAGTCGTCAAACATTCACTGAGTGAAAATCTTTTAACAAGTGAGCCAAAGAAAACTGAAACTTGCAGCGCACAAACAGACTTGCATCCTTAGTGCTGCTGGAGGGGAACACCGTGTGATGAAATGGTGCCGTTTTGTTACGAGATGCGTACCCTTATAGCATGTTTGGATAGTCATCATCATCATCAACCTTTATTTATAAAGCACATTTAAACGGCGACAACGCCAACCAAAGTGCTGTACATGACAATATGTCACCAAACTAGATACAGCAACATAAAATAGATAAAACAAATAAAAACTATAATAACAAAAAAACAGGAAAGAACAAGGGTTAAACAGTCTCAGCCGGGAAGGCCAGGGAATAAAAATAAGTCTTCAAACGTACTTTAAAAGTGGGAAGGGAGGGGGCAAGTCGGTCCGTCAGGGGGAGTTGGTTCCAAAGTTTAGGCGCACAAACTGGAAAAGCCCGTTCGCCACGCGCCATTTAGCGGGCAGGAGGGACAAGCAGAAGGTGCTGGTCAGAGGACCTCAGGGTTTGCGCCGGAACACAGGGACTCAAAAGACGTGCCGAATAGGAGGGGGCCATTTCATGAATAGATTTGTAAACCAACAGAAGAATTTTGAACTTAATACGAAACCGAACTGGAAACCAGTGTAAATTTGCCAAAACAGGGGTGATATGCTGCCGTCGGTCTATGCCCGTAAGAAACCTTGCGGCAGCATTCTGAACCAATTGGAGGCGTACCACTGAAGAGGAGGGAATACCATATAAGAGAGAGTTGGCGTAGTCCAGACGTGACGTTACAAAAGCATGAACAACTGACTGAAGATCTTTTTTGTTCAGGACAGATTTTAGTTTGGCCAGCCTGCGAAGATGAAAGAAACACGACTTGACTACCTGATTTATCTGCGCATCCATTTTTAAAAAAGCGTCCAGTGACCCCCAAATTTGTAATTGTTGGCTTCACCAAAACTGACAATGACGGGGGCAGAGATGGCTCCACAGCAGGGGGGGGCATGGAGCAATGAGAATAGCCTCCAGTTTGGAGCTGTTAAGATAGAGAAAATTAGCCGAGAGCCAGGACCTGTCTTCACTTAGGCAGTCAGTCAGTGGTTGCACAGGGTCAGCAGATTTTAGGGCCATATAAAGCTGACAGTCGTCAGCGTAGAGATGAAACTTTACCCGGAATTTTCTAAAAATGGCTGCCAAAGGTAAAATATATAGATTAAAAAGAAGTGGACCTAAAACGGACCCCTGGGGAACCCCACAAATAAGAGGTGACACTCTAGTCTTTGTGTACTCATCAAACATTTATCAAAACGATCAAAGCCATCAAACAGCTGAGAGCTTCAGACTAGTTTGAGCATGAAGAGAAGAGATTCAAACACGATAATAAGATTGTATCACGTTTGTTGAAACGAGGAACAAAAGTGTCACAAGTAGTGTTTGTCCTCTTGAATTTCTCTTACAGATGAAGTTTTAAGCTGAGGTCAGCAGCAATTCAATATGAGAACAATGACTTGTGTTGGGTGACCGTCAGCAAGTGCTACTGCGTTTGTCTAGTCCCTGAGACGGCGTTAACTTGGCAGGCTGGTTGTTTTCCTGTTTAATTGGAAAACAGACAGTTTGATTCTTTACCCTGCAGCACAGCAATGTGTTCTTTAGCTTAACGGTGTAATAAAGTTGCTAATATACATACAACTTTAATGAGTAGGACATTTTTCAATCATTTATTTGCTTAGAAATCTCTATGGTAGTGCAGAGTACCTCTGTACACCAGGAACACTACAGTCTTTCAAGATTATTCTCAAACTAAACATTGTAGTAAATTGTAAGTATGTGTCAACAGCATTAAAAAAACTTACGGAAGCCATTATAACCATTATTGTTAGTAGATATTAGCATCAAAATGTAATAATGACTATTATTAGTATCAGTTTTTATGTTTCTCTTGTACATATCATGCACATATTATACATCAAACTCTTCAGTTACTTTTCCTCTCGCTCAATATGTCAAAACATGAGCAATCCCGGGTATAAAGTTTTGTTTGTTTGGCACAACCTAAATTAAAGTATTGTCATATTTTGCACAGATATTGTATTTTAGTACAAGTAAAGGCATGCATTATCATAGACATGTGACCTGAGGGTTAGGATTATGGGGAAGGAGCTGCATTTACTGATATCAGTATCGGAGTTTCACTAGATCGGTATTTCAGATACCAGTGAAAAAAGCCAAAGGTGCCTGGTTCTGACTTTTCTTTTTGGTATGCCACCCCAAGATTACCAGTGGCTTGTGTCAGTAGCCCCCTTTAAAGACTTCATGGAGGTGCCCCTGTATATGTAGAGAGCAACATGACTGTGTGAGAGTGTGTATGATTGAGTGAATAAAACACGTATTGTAAAGCATTTTGCAGAACCTGGATCAGGTGAAATGCGGCATGGAAAACAGCCTAGCTATAAATAATATCTACATGCCAGTTACTTGCATGCATGTGTGTAGTTATTAAACAGCCGATAGCCATGTCAAAATGAGCAGCTTATAATTCGAAGGCACTCAACTACCAACAGACCTCTGATTGGTCCAGGTGTGTACCAGAACTGGCAGCTAGATTAACGTTTTCTGTAAGGATTCAGAAAAGGAGGAGGTGGCGGTGAGGGTAAAGATGTTGGCTGAGGTGGCTTGTAACATGGGATTTTCTTTTTCTTCTTCCTCTACAGTTCCATCTTTTACTTTCACACCAACAGGTAAGCACCTTTCTTGAGTACGAAATGTTTTTAGTTCAGTAAATGGTGCCCAGCACAAGCCTATTTACTATTATTGGTTTTGTCAGTCCTGAAAGACCTGTTAGTATGTGAACCTGTTTAGATTCAGTACAGATTCATTAACTGTAGTGAAGTCAGTGAAGGGACACCATGATGTAAGCTAATAAAGGGAAACGGTGAGTAGCCGCTACCTGAAAACGAATGTTCTGGCGAGTGTTTGGACTGTCAGAACTTGGTGCCAGAGAAGGGGACACACTTCTGGGAGGCTGTTAAAACTCATAGTAACTTGATCAAAGAGCTGCTGGCAACCTCAGATGGGATTTTTTAGAATGACACACCGCTAACACCCCTGTGAATCAAAGTGGCACGGCGTGAAACGGATAAAAACTTTCCGTCTTTGAGTTCATGGCTGCAGTCTTCCTCCTTTTTCTTTAAATAATGAACTTTAATCCATCTGAACCTCTTTGTCCACCGGAGCTGTGTCATGGTTGCAACAAGAGGGGAGCGGTGAGCTGCAGCTGTGGCTGCGCTCGGGAACTATTAAACCCCCTTAAAGCTGAGTGACCCGAGCGGGAATTGGACTCCGATCTCCCAGTCCCAGGGTGGACACTCTACCACTAGGCCACTGAGCAGGTTTAACAGCACCTGAAGCCGATGCTTGTTGCAACACCAGTAGATCCTATCTATCAGCTACACGAGCATTTGTGTTTCTGTCTGCCTTGAGCGATGCAATCAGGTCAAATAACTTAGCAGCTGTAGACCCGTTTCATGTTCTAATGGTGAGATTTGCTCCTTATTGGTGTGATTAGGCCTGACACATCCTTTAGTGTTGTGTGAGTAGCTCATTGGGTGGATTTCAGTGGAGATTGTGTCAGTTATACCTCTGCTTTGTGCAGGCTGTAAAAACAGAAGCCACACGGTACTTTGTTGTGAAAAGAAGACGGAGACGCAGCAGAGCTAAGGCCCTGCCTTGTCTTCTCCCACCTTAATTGTAATTAAAGTTGGAAGTTTATCTTCCTTTCACACACTGGCAGCTTAGAGAGGGTCCTTAAGAGTCCAACGTGCTATGTGCACAGCTTCAAATACACAGAACCTAGAAACTACAGAGCTCTGCATCTTTCTTCTTCATAAGCCTCCGATGCATCCTCGTCCTGCTCCAGTCGCTTTAAAAACGTATTTGTGACTCGACTGGAATCGTGCACACACCTCAAACACAATAATTGTCATTTAATGCAGAAATGATTCATTTACTTTTGACTTATTATGACAGTTGTATAAATGATGATGCAATAAAAAGGTTTGCTTTGAAATCATGATGGAAACCTAATATGTGTTCTTTGTTTAGTGGCATATCAAAGAGGTGGAGAAAGTATCAGCAGTGCTGGAAGGTAAGGCTTTTTTTTAAGTGTGTGACTGCTTTCAATTTATTTTTTCATGTCTCAGAAAATTACATTATTAGACTTGATTTTTCAAACGGGGTGTTGAACCTTCAGAACAGACAAAAAAGGGATGGGCACATGCACTTTTCTTTCCCAAACACTAGGGGGCGATCTGAGTCTTTCCAAGGCAGCAGGTAGTATAAAGGGTGTAATAATGGTTGAGGAACAAAGACCAGGCCGAGTCGGATGGGAGCCCATCCCATGTGCTGGAACGCCACATCCTACCACAAGGCTGTGCCATAGCATCGCTCTAAAATAGGAACAGAGACCCGTGCATGTGCACAGCAGCAACTACGTGCCTATTGGATGGTGCACCACACACAAGCTGTGAGACTGCACAGCATTACACTTGCCAAAACTAATTTGTTTATCCTCTGGATGGCCTTTGGCATGTCGTCATATAGCTGGTAAATGGAATACGTGTGTGTGTGTGTGTGTGTAAGGGGGGGGGTGCATTCAGTTATTATCCGATTTCTGCTCAGAGAACAGAATGTACTTAATGCTGCACCATAAGTGTGTGTGTGTGTGTTAATGAATAGTTAGCTTGAAGCCATCAACAGTAAATCCATATTCATTATATTACTCCAGCTGTATGATTGAATCCTGTTTCCAGTGCGGCTGTGTCAGCTCTGCACTAAACAATGGTCGTTCAATATCAACATACAACTGCCGGGGTGACTGAGGAGCTATTGTGAGATTGTATTTGGCCGTACAAGACAAATGTGTTCATTACCCAAAATTAATCCAAGAAATGAGTCATTACGGGTGGAATGAGGAAATGTAATTCAATGCTAATTCAGTGCTGGGATATGCGGTCCGGGAGTTTTGAATACCAAAGCAGTATGCAGCCCCGCTAGAGTACACTGCTTCCCTTTTTACGCTGGATTGATTTGTTTAATCAGCAATAGGAAAAAAAAAATATTGTGCTGTTTTTTTCTGCAGCAAAGGTCAAGATCTACAGAATAATCCTGTTAACAAGTGATGTTATATCAGCTGCACTGTACTAAACAGGAGAACAAAGACACAAAAAACTCTATTTTGCATGTGTGTTTAACAGAAAACTGAGCTTTTGTGTGACGTTGAATTTACTCAGGGAGCAACATCAGGAGTGAATTTTATCTGGCTGTCTGATTCAGGCAGATCGCTAACGCTCACATGGTCTCAGAGCAAGCATCATCAGCTCTGTGGAAATCAAACACGCTCCATATTTAGCTCTTTTATGCGTTTCCTTATTGCATGTTTGGCCAAAAGGCAAAAAGTACTCAAACCGGATTTAGTTTTCCTCTTCTCAGCCGCACAAATAAACTCTGCATAATCTTCTTCCCCCAAACACTAGGTTCCTGCGGGTGTTTTCGTTCATTCAGACAAATGTCATTGTGGCGCTGGCTTAGTTTGTTACCATTGTCAAACATCTGGTCTCATTTCTCCTCGCAGGCCTGGTTTACTAAACATGGGAGACTCAGCCACTCAGCCCTGGCTGGCTGACACATGGCCCAACTCGTGCTCCAACCACAACGACTGCAGCATCAACTGCTGCACCGCGGGCAACGGCAACAGTGACAGCAACCTGACAACGTACAGCAGACCAGGTAAGTCACGCCACACCTCTCACATGCAGGCAGAAACCAGAAAAAAAAAATCACTCCTCTCCAAGGCAACGATGCAGTCCTTGACAAAATAACTATTGTGATAAGAAATGTGGGAGCTTGGGGGAACCTGCAGTGCAAGAGGAAGTAAGATCTGATATCTAGGTTAGCTCTCGAGGGAGTTGCTGTGTGCATCTCTCCCTTCTGCAGGTCTCCACTAGAGAACAGTAGAATAGTGGCTATGCGCGTGTGTGTATGATTTATTTGAGGTTGAAGTGTAGCCGTTTTAGGCAGGAAATAAAAGGAGTACACTGAGCAGGGCTTATAGCTCGACTCTGTTGCTAATCAAATTGCTCTGCTGATTTCCATACAGTTGTTATAGCTGGTAATGTAATTTCCTCTAAGTGCTCAGTTGTTTAAGAAATGTGCAGCGGGCAAGGGGGTCAAGGCTGGACGGCAGGCGATGGCCAGAAGCAGGGGGAGAGAGAGGGGGTGCACCTGGATCAGTAGATGGAGAATTAGGAACATTTGAAACCAGACAGAGGAATATGATGTGGTGTTTTTGCGCAAAGGGGAGCTTGTTTGGCTCCAGGTCCTTGTCCACTGTTGCTAAATCATTTACTGTATGGTATTTATAGAATAATATGCACCCAGAAACTTTCGCATGGATGACATGAGTTAATGTTAATATATTTCAAGCATGACCAACAACCCCATCATAGAAACTTGGACGCCACTAAAATCTTTTATGTTCTAAATTATGCACTTTGGGGCTCTAATAGCAGCACATAACTCCCGTCCAGCTGTTCTACCCAATATCCATCCAGCCTCCCGATGGTGTTCTCCCGACTTCAAACCTCTCTCAGAGAGGAATCATAATTCATTTCACAGACTTTATAGTCCAGTGCAGTTTTCCTTTGTGCTAATCACCCCTCTGAGGTTGTATGAGAGGCTGGAGCCCTCACTCTCCTTGCATGACACCCTGCTATATGACACTAAGGAGCTTGCCAGACGCATGCTTTGTGTGTGTGTGTGTGCCAAAACTAAACTGAACATTAAGAGGATCACTGACTAGGTGACAGAGCAAAGAAATCGGAGTTAATGTCCCTTTATCTCAGCCATAGGGGCGCTTTCACACAGCGTCCTTTGAAGTGTTGATCTGTTCCGTGCAGCTGAAATGTGAGGCGCGTGGCACGAGCCGCGTGTACTATGGCCGTCTTTGGTATTTACCGCTAGGCTGGCTCTCAGACCTGCTGGAGGATTTGAATATTTTATGAGCCAGGGAAAATTGGATCAGTCTGTGAAGCTGTGCTTTTACTGCGTGCCTCGTTCCATGTCTTTGATACAGACATGTCTCTCTGTCCCTCTCAATGAGGGAGGATGCTGCCGCTGTCAGATGGAGGGGGGAAAAATGGCTCCCCCACTGAGTTATTGGTAGATTGGTGCAACACCTGAAACGGGATCATTTGGTGAACAAAGCTGAAAATTAAAACAGAAAAATGGAATGTTTCTCCACTGGATAGTGATCTTTGCAAAGCTTGAAATGAAAATGTGTCTTTTGTTAGAATAAGCTCCAAATTAGATCAGATTGTTTGAAATCTTTTACCAAGCTGGCTTACTGCTGCTAAGCTGATCAGCAGCAGTAAAGACTGACTAAATGCCCTCCTCATGTTCTCCAGCCGACTGTATCGCCAATTATAACAACCAGATGGATAACAAGCAGACCAACCTCATGGTGCCAGACTCAGGGGTCTATGGAGATGTGGACCTGTCCAACAAGATCAATGAAATGAAGACCTTCAACAGCCCAAACCTGAAAGATGGCCGCTTTGTAGGCACAGGGGGCCAGCCAACACCTTACGCCACCACTCAGCTCATCCAGTCCTCCATCATGAGCAACAACACGAACTCAGACAGAGTCATCGGTGGGAGCGGAGGTGGACTCGGGGGTGGAGGGGAATTAAATGAGAAACACTGCTGGAAGCCAGCATCAGCCCAGCAGCAGAAACAGGAAATGGGCTCCCAGCTCCAGTACAGCATCATGGAACAAAACAAGCTCAATAAGGGTGAGTGTGTGGAGTACCCAGCAGCCTCTGTTACAGAGGTCAACTCCAGGCCATGATCTTCCTCCACTTGACTTTCCCCTCTGTTCTCTGCTCTCCTGGCTGATTCAGCCACCCTATGGATGTCTATGCAAGAGTTTCATGCTTATTCACCATTTGGCTCTTTCCTCCCAGTCTTTTTCAGTCCACAAAGGCATCATCACTCTTTCTTTCTGCTTGTCTGTTTGGCATTCATGTTATCCTTCATCATCTTTTGGGCCAGGCTTGAATCCTCTCTCGGTATTCTGGGTATTGCTCTGATAAAGGCGGGCGCTGAAAGCGCTTCTCTATCTGTCACATTTCTATAAAGACGACAAAGATAAATCAAAGCTGTTTGAATCAAGCTATAATTATCTTATCCTACCTGGTGAAAGGACCCTTGTCTAGCATTTAACATCAAAGATATGTGTTGCATGTGATATATAGTCACCTGAGATCTATCCTGCATGTCTGTCTTTGCATTTACCTTATAACATTAGGCTCACTGCAGGAGAATTAGAGAATTTTTGGTTACATCGCCAATGTTCTTCATTCCTTTTCATGAGAAACTGGGTGATTTCCTTTGACCTCTGACTAGTTACGCCTGGGAATGAACTAACTGGACTCTATCCAACAGATCGCTACAGAGGCGGCGACAGTCCGATGCCAGCCACCATTCCCTACAACCAGACTCACGACAGCCACACCGGGGGCTCCTACAACAGCTCTGACCGAGGCAGCAGCAGCACCTCTGGTGAGATGTGTTGGGCTTTATAGAGAAATACAACTTAAAGGGGCATTAAGGAAGTTTGACAGCCAAAACATGTATAGAAATAATAAATGTCTTCTTCATACATTCTCCTGCAATACCCTGGTCCTGTAGAATGAGCCCTGGCATTTTTACTGTGATTGCCTGTTTTTCTGTAAAATCACAGAAAAAGAGAGATGCTCGGGTCGAGCAGGCTGCTTCATGCGCGTTCACGCTCAGGCATCGCCCGTAGCATTTGCTATCCGTAGCTTTAGTCTTTGTCGCTGTTCCTAACGCCTAGTGACAAAGCTAGCTACAATTCTGGAGACACTTAGCTACTTTCTGTAGAACTTTCTTCTAGATATTTCCTGCAAATTAGCAACAAAATAGCCATTTTAGCTCTGAACCGTTCTTTGAACGTTGTTTCAGCTGTCACAGTGGCGTGTCCAGATCTTTTAAAATGGGGTGGCCCAGGTGAGGCACTACTTTGTGCATATGTGGCACCAGTGGTTATGCTTTTTTGTTTTACCTCAAGCCTTTTGTGGACAATGAAACGCCCATTTAAAGGAAATTCTGTGTGGTGACACCTGGGGTGGCCAATCAGATTCCAAGGGTGGCATGTGCTACCCCAGACCACTCCCTGGACTGAGCTGTCATCAAGGATATAAATGTTACAGATACAAATGACATCACTGGCGCTTTAGCTCCCCTAGTAAAACATCGGCCTCTCGTGCAGAAGACCTGGGTTTGATTCTGGATGTGAACATAGTTTATTTAGTTTCTTTTTTACATTAATGGTATATTTTTACAGTAAGATGCCCAAATTTTTATTTGAGACTCGCCGAACGGCATTGAATTCACAGATAAAAAAAGATGTGGGTTCAACTTTCATTTTGGAACAATTTTTCAAGCAAGGGAAGGGAATGATCTGAGCATGCAGGAGGACTGACCCATCATAAACCTTTGTCGGCTGTGCTGAAGAGAAAGGTACAGAACCACATTATTTAATTAATTAGCTGCGCGTTCTCCTGTCCTCTGCCCTCCGGGCCACACACACACACCCACCCACCCACACACACACACACACACACACACACACGGGACTGTCTCAGCTGTTATTTTCGTTAAAGAGTGTGCACGTACAGCATGCGCGCCTCGTGCACGAGCCTACTATTGAAGCTGGCGTTACGCTTTTGGCCTGAGGGGCAATCGCAAGCATAAAAATTTAAAACTCCATTAAGTCCCTTTAAAGGCGCATCATCAGATCTCTTATCAACTTATTCCACTTCTTTTAGACTTTAATAATTAACATTTCATGTTTTGCCAAGTAATCTTTTAGCTTCTGCAATCACTGTGAACCCAAGACTCCCGTACACATACTCCACAAAGGCAATACATCATCGTAGTGACACTAATAAAATATGCTTTAAAGGCTTTTTCTGATTCATTTATCCTGTCAAATTTTATGAAAACTTTGCAAAAAAGGGCCGATTAGAGTAGTTGCGCTGCTTCTAAACAATGAAAGAACCACTAGAGCCTGATAATGCTTACAAGAGTAAAAAGAAATGTATGCCTTTTATGGTGCCTCTAAGTAGTTCTCTACGTATTTGTGGTGCTAGTTTTGCCCTAGCTTACTTTAACCAGATTTAGCTCAATTCTATTGTGATGCGGTTTAATATCCGGAGCTCGATGTGGACAAGGATAAATGATTACACACAGCAGACGGCATGCAACGCTGCCACCTTAATGCCATGTATCCATTCTGATATCACATTTGAAGTTCAAGTCATTAAGAAAAGGCCTTTTGTGCTTGCTGCACATCACAGCTCATTGGTTCACAATTTTAATAGTGTGGCATTAATTGGACCCTTTTCACGCTTCATTCTTACCTTTTTTCTCCGGACCAGCTGATAGCCCTGTGGTAGAACAGCTGGGTTTTATAGCGGTTTCTTTCTCAATGAGAGAATTCTGACAGTGCAGTCGAATTAGCCTCTCTGTTCTCCAGTGTACAACAATCTTTCTTGCAGTCAGCCTTGTTGATGTTCATTTTATATGCTGTCCATTTCCTGTCGGCGTTTATAACCGACGTGTTTCTGCTACACAGGATTCACGCGTGTGCATATGAAGGTGTGTAGTGACTGATTAAATGTCCGTTTTCCCTTTTTTTCTGAGCAGGGAGTCAGGGCCACAAGAAGGGAGTGCGCACCCCCAAACTACCCAAACAAAGCACAATGAATTGGGCTGACCTTCTACCCCCTCCTCCTGCAAACCCAGCCCCGGGTCGAACCACAGAGGAGTACGTACTGTCCATGGAAGAAAGGTAGACAGTCAATCTGACATTGACGCTCACGGTGTTGAAGTGCTAGACAATTTCTGAACACGTTCTTCTGTTTCTTATAACCATTCCAAGTGCTCGCCTCAGGAGTTTCCTGTCCATTAGAGCTCCGTTTGTGTCAAATCCTGATGGAAGGAATGCATGAATATTTAGTTCCTCTTTTTTTTCCCAGCTTCAGAATATATTGAAAACATTGACGTTACCCGTGAGTGATCTGCAGCTAACAAGGCTTGTTTGTGTCTGCTGGCAGCGGTGATCCAGACATGCAGTGCCCCATGCCCCCTTCTCACATGTACCTGCAGCCTGATGAGTTAGAGGAGGAGGAGATGGAGAGGGGGCCTACTCCTCCTGTCCGCGGGGCAGCCTCTTCCCCCGCTGCTATATCCTACAGTCACCAGTCCACAGCCACCCTCACCCCCTCGCCGCAGGAGGAGATGCAGCCGATGCTTCAGGACGGATCAGACAGCCATGAACGCAGGTATATGTGTGAACGGCACTGAGCAGAGCACAATGCTGGCCACGCTGAGAGGCGGCGTTCAGGAAATGTATCTGCTCTAAAAGCCTCATTCGGCGTACTTTATTTCATGATTGGGCTCATTAACTCCAAATTCTGCACATTGCACTGCGGCGTCAGCCGTTTTTCAAAAGCATGTCTTAGCTTTTAGAATGATTTCTTACCTTCCACGGAGTCGTAGTTCCAAGTCATTTCAGTAAAGCATGACAAATGAATGTTACAATATGGCAAGTTATTATGGCATAAAATTTTAAATATTTTATTTGCATCACTGATGGAAGGTGTAGCACGTAGCTACAACAAGAAAGACCCGTTTTACAGCAAGCTGGTGAAATTTTTTTAAATCCTTACTGATGCTGATAAAATGTTTTCATCTCTTCCTGCAGGCGCCATGCTGTGAGCCCGCCACCCCCCCCAAGGCCCCACTCTCCCTCACACACATATGGATACATAGGCAGCCCACTGGCCTTGGACACCGACGGTCTGGAGGAAGAGGAGGATATATTAGAGGAAGAGGAGGAGGAGGATGGTGATGAAACAGACGCAGAGGTGGCCAAGATGCACTACCACCATACCCATCCCCACCCCCAGATGCATGCGCGAAGGTTGCTACTACGAGGACTGGAACAGACCCCTGCATCCAGCATGGGCGACCTGGAAAGCTCGGTGACCGGCTCCATGATCAACGGATGGGGCTCAGCTTCGGAGGAGGACAATGTCTCTTCGGGGAGGTCGAGTGCAGTCAGCTCATCAGACGGCTCCTTTTTCACAGACGCCGACTTTGCTCAAGCAGTTGCTGCAGCTGCAGAATATTCAGGGCTCAGGGTGGCAAAGTACCCCAATTCACAGGTCCAGGAAGTGGGCGGAGCCTCAGGTAAAGTCCACAACTTCTACACAGAAGATTACTGCAACAAATTTGAAGTTATTGCAAAGAAACAAACAAAATGTTCTGTTTCTTTTCTCAGCTCGAAAATACCAAATAAACCCGTCGGGACATCGTCCTGGCAGCCCAGTGTCTACAGACAGTAATATGAGTATGGCAGCTATGCACAGGAGGCCTCCTAAAAAGCAAAAACAGCATCCTGCAGGTCATCCTGGGAACCAGAGACGTGAAGCCTTCAGTGAAGGTACATGAACGAGTACATCTACATAAAGTAACCCAGTCCTGCTTCAAGTAGGTTACTGGCTGATAAACTAAAACCTAAAAAAGCACTCACCGAATGAAGTTTTACGTCTTTTGATACCCAAGTCATTAAGATTTAGCACACCATTGTGTGAAAGAACAGTCTTGCTTTCATTCCGAAAAGAACCAGAACATATTTGTGTTCTGTAAATCTACGGTAGAGATGTATGTTTTCAACATTTTTGTTTGACCAGTTGAAGTACGGTTCATAATTGGTTTACCATAAACTCGTGTGTGCACTTCTTCGTTCACTCATTCTAATAGATTTTGATGCAAAACCAAAGTAGCACACTCGTTATAATATTCAGAAACAAAATGGCGCGAGTGGGTCGAGGGTTGACCTGTCCATCAGGACCTGTTGCACAGCGATGCTTGCACATTCTGGAGCACACACTTTTAAAAACAAATTAAGTTTCCTTACACTGAACTAAACTGTTACACTGACATTCCTTTATATTATTAATCAAATTACTCTTAAGAGGCAGATGCAAAATAGCTGTGGCCAAGCAGGAGCGCCATGGCAGAGACCGAGTCCTGGCCTCGGGTCTGTTTGCCGTGCGGCTTCGTTTCCACACTGTGCTCTTTCTTGACCGCTTCATCTTTGAATAAATGTATTTTTGTATCGCTCATCCCGTCCTCTAGTGGAACAAAATATTAGACACAAGCGCAGTACAATAACCATGTACATGCAATTAGGGTTGTCACGGTGTGAAAATTTAACCTCACAGTTATTGTGACCAAAATTATCACGGTTTTCGGTATTATCGCAGTATTTTTTTAAACGTGTTACATTTTCAAACAACTAAATAAACCCTGTGTATCAGGAAAATATTGTCCTCGGTTTATGTCAAAATTTTGCCTAAAATGTGTTATTTTGTAATTATGTTGTTTATTTACATTTTTCCCCTTTAAAATACCAATATTTGCCCATAACTTCTTATTTTTTGTCTGTTTGATGTCATCATTTTAAAAATATTAGACCAGATGATACTCAGTACTCAAGTAGCCTTCTAATCAGATACATTTTTACCCTTACTTGAGTAATAAACCCTATATCAGGAAAATATTGTCCTCGGTTTGTGTCCTTCCAGTGAGCTTTGCAGATTTGGGAAAATGTCATCAGGCAGTAATCATTGTTAAATTCATAATTATTCTCAGAGAGAGACCAACTCTTATCTGCCTCTGGGAGCCCCGTAATGCATAGTGTCATTTCAACATGGCGGTGTCCGCGACACGGTTTATATGCAGGTAGCGGCGCTGCGGCTGCTTTATATAGCGACTTGTTGCATTCTCCCTCAACCCAAATCCTCGGATGACGCATTTTAGCTAAAACGCTAACGTTAGCTTGCCTTGCGTTGACTGTAGAGTTGTGGGTGATGGTCAGGCAGATGTGTCATGAGATTTGAAGCGTTGCTGCCTTTCTCAGACACTTTTTCTGCACGTGCTGCAAACAGGATAGCCGTCTTCTATCAACTGTCCCTCGGCATTCTTCAAATATCTAAAATATGCCTGTAATTCCCACTTTGTCTTCTTTGACGGATAATGAATGTCCTGAGCGCTGCCGTCTCCTCCTTTGACCATTATTTCAGCTTTAGCTTCAAGAAAGTTTTGGTCGTAAACAACAAAGTGCGCTTGTGCCGCCGGCAACTTCAGCAGATGATACGGTGGCTGGTAAGGGTCACCGCGCCTACACCGCAGTCACAAAGATAATATATATTTTTTAAACAAGACAGTTATTATTATTGTCAACTTTTTCACCAGGGTTTACCGCTACACCGGTTACAGTGACAACCCTACATGCAATTAGTATTCCAAAAATATTTATTAGAATAAATGAATAAAAAAAAAAGAAAAAAAAAAGAATAAATGAATACATTGGATTTGCACTAGTGACTCAAGTGGTATTTAGTTAAGATAAAATCACAATAAAGCAGCTACGCCGTAAGTACACAGATGGCCAGTTAGTGTCGATGGCTTTGCCTCGATTCTCTGTAAAGACTGGAGGAGGAAAAGCAGTTTACTGTGACATGTCTGCAAACGACTGAGTATGGGATAGTTGTGAGCCAGAGTTTAATCATCTTCTCTTCATGTGGTTACGCACATGCATACATGGCATCTCTCCTAATCTGTGGCAGTGCTAAACAGACTGGGCCAGCAGTGGGCTGTGGTGGGGAGGAGCTGTCCTCTAATGTAATTGATCCAGGTGTTCTGAGGAGACACCTTTAATTCATCGGGGCCAGTTGTAACCGAAACAAGATAAAGAAAGAACAAAACCAGCTGTACGAATAGCTTTAACCTTGTTAAATAAAAAAGCATTTGACTTTTTATGGCATTTTTAATGGGCTGAGGAAACCTACCTCCCTTTTTTTTTACCAGCTACCTTTGAAAGGATAATTTTCTTAAAATGTAAGCCCGCCTGTGCACACGCACACGTTCTCTGGGTGTAGTCCTGGAGCTGGCTCTCCTTTTAGTGTCAGGTGTCCTTGAGTGTTGGAAGCACTTGACAAGGAGATTTAATATCGCGCTCGCTGGGCGCCAGACCAGCTATATCACTGCAGAATATCCAGCACCTCCAAACCCCGCCTCCCACCATGATCCTTATATCCTGGCTTCCTCCTCATCCTCTGCCCCTCCCTTGGCTGCAATCTCTCCATCCCACTCCCCTCTGTCTTTGTTTGAGCAGGGAGGGGGTAACTGACAGCTCGGCAGTTCTGTGTATCATTCTTTCTGCTGATTGCATTTGATCTGAATGGATTGTTTTTCATTTGGAGGTTATTGCCTCCCCCACCCAGCCAGCCTGCGTAACTCGTGTGTGGTCTGGAATACTGAGGTGATAGGTGAAGGAAGGCGATTGTTGACATTTGGAACAAAGAAGTTAAAGAAAAGCAGTGTTTCTCAGACAAAAAGCATGGTTTATGGGGGGTGGGGTGTAAGGATTTAATTTCTTTCATTTGCACCCTTCCAACTACGACACAAAGCTGCCTTACCATAGTTTTACTCATCGGCACAGACGAGACACCATTTAGTTTCCCCTCTTGCATTGACACTTATGTCTTGGCCCTCCTGTCTAATTAACCACCGAGCCCTCAGATTCATCCTCCTCGGCGAGCTTGGAGACACCTTTCAGACCTGAGCTCTGTCCTCATAACTCCAGCAGCTCCTCCCGTGTAGTAAGCTATAGCTCACAGCCCGTGGCATTGATCGGACTCTGAGGCAGATATTAAAAAACTGCAGACACCTCTCTGCTGTATGATATTGACCGCTCACCTCCTATACGCTGAGGGGGGGTGTGGACAAGAGTCAGAAAAGTCTACTAAAGCTGTCCGTTTCTGCAAACAAGCTTCTTTCTGTGTGTTAACAACAAAAAATACTCTAACGCAATATGTGCAGTAGCCACTAGAAAAGAGCAGAATGTTAGAGGCGGCACATACCATGTTTATTTAGTTTCCAATCTTTTGTGGATTATAAGTCTGGCTGCCAACAAAACCATCCTTCAGGTTGGAAGCTGATTAGATGAAAGGCCATCGATCGAAGAGCGACGAGGCTTTTCGCTCACGTATTGTTTGGATGGCTCTGTGATGTGTGAGAGGCCAGGCGGCCCACTGGCAGCTCTCATATGAATAATGGCCCAAGGACAAGCAGCATTGATTCATTGACATAGGAAGCCAAGCAGGCCAGAGAGCAAGCTGCTGACCATCACACCTCCTTCTTCCTCCTGTTCAAATCTCATAACTCTGGCATGAACTGGTTTCTTCAAAGTCATCTGTTCTGTTTGTCTGTTCCTGGTCAGTGTGACACCTGAGCGACAGATAATAAAACGGACTTTCAAGAGTACATTTATTTTTGCCAAGTCTTCTACCAATAACTACCATCTTGATAAATGTGTTTATCCATTAGATCTCCCTCCTCCACCCATCCCACCTCCAGCAGTGCTCAAGTCCCCCACACATCCCTCCAAAGCTGCACTGGAGGGCCGGGGAGTAATTTCCCCCAAAGCAGAGGGTCGAGACAAGCGAGGAGGGGTCTATCGACCGCAGGACAGCTCGGATCCTCGAACCAGCTCATCTGAACGCAAAGAAGCTCAGGATAGACAAAAGACTGCCCATGGAGGCAAAGGGATTAAACCTGAGAGCAGTGCTGCCAACAAGGCACGGCAACACCCAGGTACAGTTACAATCAACCTCAGTACCTCATTGCCATAGTCTGTTTTAGGCTTCAACTGCTTTCATTTGGTTCTGTCCTCAGGTTCAGAGGACATTCTACCCTATAGCCGACCACAGTTCCCCACAGTTAACAGCCCCAGAGACCCAAGCTCCTCCAGCTCCATGTCCTCTAGGGGTTCAGGGGGGCGGCGGAGAGAAGTAGCACGCAGGAACCCTGCAGATATGAGTGTCAACAACCCTGGAGTCTTTCAACCAGGAGATGAAGAGCTACAGGTACATGTCAGCCTAACACACTTAAACAAAACTGACTTTGACAGATTAAAATTACGAAATGGGAATCATGCACCGATTTAGACTGAAGTAAAAAAACAAATCATACAAAACAAGCGAAGATTTCTCAAGTTCACACTGGAATAGGGGGGTGACGGTGGCACAGGAGTTAAGTGCTGGCCCTGCTCAGTCCGTCACTGTTGTTGGTCGGAGGGACCAATGGTGCCTGTGCATGGCGTGAATGACTGTGGTGTAAAGCGCCTTGGGGGGTTCTAGGACTCTAGAATGGGTCATTTCAGGTCATTCAAACAGGCAATTTATCGGGTGGCGGTGGCACAGGAGTTAAGTGCTCATCCCGTAATCGGAAGGTTGCAGGTTCGAGCCCCGCTCATTCTGACGCTGTGTTCCTTTGGCAAGACACTTAACACACGTTGCCTGCTGGTGGTGGTCAGAGGGACTGGTGGCGCCAGTGCTTGGCAGCCTCGCCTCTGTCAGTACATGAATGTGTGTGTGAATGGGTGAATGACTGATTGTGTTGTAAAGCACCTTGGTGGGTTTCCAAGACTCTAGAAGGCGCTATATCAAATTCAGGCTTTTTAGATTGAGGTTCATCATAACCCAGCAATTACTACTTACCTTTTTAAGCAGGTATTTATTTATCTGCATGTGAAATATTACAGCCAAAAGTATTGGGAGATCAGTTTCAGCATTATTCACCTCGTCGTCGTCTTCCTCCGCTTATCCGGGTCCGGGTCGCGGGGGCAGCATCCCAACTAGGGAGCTCCAGGCCATCCTCTCCCCAGCCTTGTCCACCAGCTCCTCCGGCAGGACCCCAAGGCGTTCTCGGACCAGATTGGAGGTGTAACCTCTCCAACGTGTCCTGGGTCGACCCGGGGACCTTCTGCCGGCAGCACATGCCCGAAACACCTCCCCGGGGAGGCGTCCAGGAGGCATCCTGACCAGATGCCCAAACCACCTCAACTGGCTCCTTTCGATCCGGAGGAGCAGTGGTTCTACTCCGAGTCCCTCCCAAATGTCCAAGCTCCTCACCCTATCTCTAAGGCTGAGCCCGGCCACCCTACGGAGGAAACTCATTTCGGGCGCTTGTATCCACGATCTCGTTCTTTCGGTCATTACCCAAAGCTCATGACCATAGGTGAGGATTGGGACGTAGATCGACCGGTAAATCGAGAGCCTGGCTTTCTGGCTCAGCTCCCTCTTCCCCACGACAGATCGGCTCAGCGTCCGCATCACTGCAGACGCCGAACCAATCCGCCTGTCGATCTCCCGATCCCTCCTACCCTCACTCGTGAACAAGACCCCGAGATACTTAAACTCCTCCACTTGAGGTAGGACCTCTCCCCCGACCCGGAGGTGGCAAGCCACCCTTTTCCGGTCGAGAACCATGGTCTCAGATTTGGAGGTGCTGATCCTCATCCCAGCCGCTTCACATTCGGCCGCGAACCTACCCAGCAAGAGCTGAAGGTCAGAGCTGGATGAAGCTAGGGGGACCATATCATCCGCAAAAAGTAGAGATGAGATTCTCCTGCCACCAAACTCGACACACTCCACACCACGGCTGCGTCTAGAAATTCTGTCCATAAAAGTGATGAACAGAACCGGTGACAAAGGGCAGCCCTGGCGGAGTCCAACCCTCACTGGGAACAGGTCCAACTTACTACCGGCTATGCGGACCAAACTCACGCTCCTCTGGTAAAGGGACTGAATGGCCCTTAACAGAAAGCCACCCACCCCATACTCCTGGAGCGTCCCCCACAGGGTGCCCCTGGGGACACGGTCATAAGCCTTCTCCAAATCCACAAAGCACATGTGGATTGGTTGGGCAAACTCCCATGCCCCCTCCATCACCCTTGCAAGGGTATAGAGCTGTGGTCCACAGTTCCACGGCCAGGACGAAAACCACATTGCTCTTCCTCTATCTGAGATACAACTATCGATCGGACCCTCCTCTCCAGTACCTTGGAGTAGACCTTTCCAGGGAGGCTGAGGAGTGTGATTCCCCTATAGTTGGAACATACCCTCAGGTCACCCTTCTTAAAGATGGGGACCACCACCCCGGTCTGCCACTCCCTAGGAACTGCCCCCGATGACCACGCAATGTTGTAGAGACGTGTCAACCATGACAGCCATACAACATCCATAGCCTTGAGATACCCAGGACGAACCTCATCCGCCCCCGGGGCTCCGCCGCTGTGTAGTTGTTTGACTACCTCAGCAACTTCTGCCCCCGAGATCGGACAGTCCATCCCCAGGCCTCCCAGCTCTGGTTCCTCCTCGGAATGCGCATTGGTGGGATTGAGGAGCTCCTCAAAGTATTCCTTCCACCGTCCGACTATAGCCTCAGTTGACGTCAGCAGCTCCCCATCCCCACTGTAAACAGTGTGAGCGAGTTGCTGCCTTCCTCTCCTGAGGCGCCGGACAGTTTGCCAGAACCTCTTTGGAGCCGATCGATAGTCTTTCTCCATGGCCTCACCAAACTCCTCCCACGCCCGAGATTTTGCCTCGGCAACTGCCACTGCTGCACCCCGCTTGGCTATCCGGTACCTGTCTGCTGCCTCCGGAGACCCACAGACCAGCCTGACGGCTCCCCGAACCTCTGGTGTCCACCAGCGGGTACGGGGGTTGCCACCACGACTGGCACCGGCCACCTTACGACCACAGCTAGCAACAGCCGCCTCGACAATCGCAGAGTGGAACAAGGCCCACTCGGACTCAATGTCCCCCACTGCTCTCGGGATGTGGTCAAAGCTCTGCCGGAGGTGGGAGTTGAAGACCATCTTGACAGGTTCTTCTGCCAGGCGTTCTCAGCAGACCCTTACTATGCGTTTGGGTCTGCCAGGTCTACGCGGCATGTTCCCTTGCCATCTGATCTAACTCACCACCAGGTGGTGATCAGTTGACAGCTCCGCCCCTCTCTTCACTCGGGTGTCCAAAACATACGGCCGCAGGTCAGATGATACGACTACAAAATCTATCATCGACCTGTGACCTAGGCTGCCCTGGTACCAAGTGTACCGGTGGGCATCTTTATGTTCGAACATGGTGTTTGTTATGGCCAAACTGCGGCTTGCACAGAAGTCCAATAACAAAACACCGCTCGAGTTCAGATTAGGTGGGCCGTTCCTCCCAATCACACCCCTCCAGGTCAAGCTGTCATTGCCCACGTGAGCATTGAAGTCCCCAGCAGGACAATGGAGTCCCCTGATGGAGCACTATCTAGCACTCGTCCCAGGGACTCCAAAAAGGGTGGGTACTCTGAACTGATATTTGGCCCATAAGCACAAACAACAGTCAGGACCCGTTCCCCGACCCGAAGGCGCAAGGAAGCTACCCTCTTGTCCCCCGGGGTAAACCCCAACACACAGGCAGAGAGCCTCGGGGCTAACAAAAAGCCAACCCCAGCCCTCCGCCTCTCACCCGGAGCAACTCCAGCAAAGTAGAGTGTCCAACCCCTCTCCAGGTCTCGGGTTCCAGAGCCAATGCAATGTGTCGAGGTGAGTCCGACTATATCTAGCCGGTACCGCTCAACCTCTGCCACAAGCTCCGGCTCCTTCCCCGCCAGCGAGGTGACGTTCCATGTCCCAAAAACTAGTTTTCTTGTCAGGGGATTGGACCGCCAAGGCTCCCGCCTTGGTCTGCCACACGATTCGCATTGCACCGGACCCTTCATGTTCCTTCTGCGGGTGGTGGGTCCACAGTTGGACGAGCCCATGTATCCGGTTCGGGCTGGGCCCGGCCGGGCCCCATGGGCAAAAGCCTGGCCACCAGGCGCTCGCTCACGGGCCCCAACCCCAGGCCTGGCTCCAGGGTGGGACCCCGGTAACCCTCCGGGCCGGGTACTCCGACTCTTCGTTTTAACCACCTGCGTGGTTAAAAGTTAAAGCCCCAATAGTTGTCACACACACACACGTGTGTGTGAAATTTGTTCTCTGCATTTGACCCCAGCCCCTGGGGAAGTAGTGAGCTGCAGACAACATTGGGTCCCATATTTTCTAACCTGGCCTGCTAGACTCACCAACTCAAAAATAACCAATCATGAATAAGGTGGAAATGATGACTGTATCGCGTGACGCTGTAGTCAAAGATGGCATCTGGCAGCACAAACATCTTTCTTTAGAAGAAAGGCTTTTGGCTTGTCCAAATAAGTTATAACAGAGGGAAGAGTCACAGCTAACTCCACCTCAGATGCCATCTTCGTTGTTATGAGAAACTGAGCATCAGTGTGTGCTGATTGCCTAAGAATTCATGGGGTTATCTCAATGAGAGCTTTCAGTGGCCTGGTGGTACAGTGTCCGCCCTGAGACTGGGAGATCAGGGTTCAATTACTGGCGGGTCATACCAAAGACTTTGAAAAGAAATGGGACCCAATGCCTCCCTGCTTGACACTCAATATTAAGCGGTTGGACTGGGGGGTTAAACCACCAAATGGTTCCTGGGTCAAATGCCACACACACACCAGTGTGTCACAATTAATGGGACTTACAAAAAAAATTGCCAGGCCTGGTGAAAAAAAAACAACAAAGTTTAAGTCTTTAGTAATACACAACTGGGATTTGAACCCCAATGTTTCAGTCCCAGGGCACTGAGCTGGTGAAACCTTTTCTATGTTTTTTTGGACTCCAGCGCCAATTTGGATGGTGATGCTTAGCTTCCAAAACAAACTCACTTATCCATGTTTTTCTTGGAACATCTAAGTTCAATGATACGGCAAGGTGCCCCAATGCTTTTGGCAACAGTGTACATCTATGTAAAGTTAGTAGTGGCCGTTGCAATTCAACAGTACACTGAATAAACAATGTCAATAAAAGACTATTCTGATTCTAATAGTTTCCTACCTTTTCTTTTTCTTCCCCAGATGGTAGAAAGCTGAAGGAGACAGAAAATAAGGACTTTTGAAATTTTTCCGAGTGGAGCACCATTGTTTCTCTTACAAGTTTAAATATCTCAGTATTTCACCATCATGTTGGCTGCCATCATACTGTACATCCTAAGTGTTTCTTTACATCTGGAAAACAGACCATTTTTTGTAAACCTATAATTTTCTATGCCCAATTAAATCAAAAAGAAAGGACAGAAGCTAAAAGACAAATGCATTCAAAACAATGTATTTATGTTTAATTCCAATGCAATATGGAGCAAAGTCCTGCTCCAAAAATTTACAAGACTCAGCTTGCCTTGATGAGAACTTTGGAGAGCCCATTCAGTGAGTGGTTACTGTAACCAAACAGCTGCAAACAGAGGGAGGTGAACTGTCTGTAAATATACATTTCTGTGTGATGTCCTCTTGTTTTACCCATTGTGGTTGCTCAAAATGGTCTTCCTTGTTTAATTTAGCAGAGTCTAGTTTTTTTTATTCATTTCCATACATGTTGTAAATTGCTATATTATTTAGCTGCCCCCAAAAAAGTGCCACTATGGGATTTTTTTGTTTGTTCTTTGTAATGCACTGTTGTGTTGTCATTGATGTTTGTTTGTTTTACCTTGGTTTTAAAAGCACAATCACTAAACTTTATTTTAAACCATTTTATCTATTAACCTTTTTGTCTTACTGCAGGAAGAAAGGTGAGACAAAAGAGTCGAGTTAACCCTAAAGATAACGTAGGTTGCTGTTTACGAAGGCTGTGCTTGAAAGGAGACTCCGTATGTTGTGATTGTCTCCCTCTCCAGTTCTGATGCTAGCTTAAGTGATACAGTTAATGTGAGTCATAGCTGCAATGTAAATATCCTTTTCACAGTGACCATGAACTCAGCTATTGCACATTAATCAAAATGGTTGTGTTGCCTACAAATGCACTTAAATGAATGTCAAATACAGGACATGCGTCACTTTGGAATCTGGAGAGGTTGTAATTAAACAAGAGTCTCTTCTCAATACAAATGGGTCAACTGGGCCCTGTTTTCTGAAGAAAGGGTGCTGTTGTTTATTATAGGACATCTGCAAACATTTGTTTCGTAAAGCAAAAGGAAAGAAAAAGAACAAAAAAATGATGAATAAAAAAGTTTAAACTAAATGTCATTTTGCAGTTTGTTCTTTAAACCCGGTTCACACGGCACATTTTTTTCAAGTGTGAGACGCCGTGGGTGGTGTTAAAAAATGTTTATAAGCCAGTTTATTCAGTTGGTTTCTCTTTTGTGAATGATCACCTCTAGCTGGGCAACCAAGTGAAAACGCATAGTTTTACAATTATTTTAACCTCACGTCCACATATGTGGACTCTGCACTATAATATTTTATTATATAGACACTTGATATTGTCTTTAAAAGTTTTTCTTTGTTCACATTTACAAGAGTCGACTAATGCGTAATGGATGCAGGGCAACTGCTGGTTTAAGGGAGCAAAATTTAAGACTTTTTAAGACCACTTTGACCAAATGTAAGTTTTTTTTTTAATTACATTTTGGCTATAATTTCCAGATATTGCCTGGAACCGGTGCTAATCACGTCCCAAACATGGCATTAGAAATCCAGTTACCATTAAACTTAAACTTCCCCATGGCGCAAGCTCCCACTAGCTTAACCAGCTGATGTGTTCATCTAAAAATAGCCCCTTTTCACAACCAACTGAATGTACAGTTCCCCTTATGCCAATATCATACACAAAAAATGCTGAACACTAAATTTTCATGAAATTGTCAAGAATTCACGAAAATTTTATAGAAAAAAAATAATCTTGTTTATTGGGTCTTTGGTAATTTAAGATTTTTGGAAACTGTATTTAAGGATTATTAGTCATTTTTAAGGAATTTCAAAGTCTTAAATTTGGAAAAGCAAATTTAAAACTATTTAAAGGCCCGCGGATACCCTGGGGTAGAAATCTTAGTGATCCCAAATAGAAGTTTGCGTCTCGGGAGGTTAAATGTCCCAAACGCTGAGCATTGCTCAGATCTAATTTCATAGGGCTCTATGGGATGGGGGTGGGCTTGTCAAAAAGAAAATATAACGTATTTGCTACATTATCACTTTATATATTCCTTAAAATATATAATTACTGGAAGGTGGAAAAATTTTGGACTGATGTGCTATATCATGGCACAGCCGAAGTAGGTCAACAATGGAGATGGCAAGCCAACTGTGAAAAATGCCTTAGACAGGACAGATTTTTCTGAGGCTGTTTTTACAAAACAATGCCGTCAATTCGCCACAACACTGAAGTTGCATCAGGGAGCTTTAGGTTGTTTCTAAGCGGTCTGACTGTGGAGATTATGTGCAGTTGTGTCCTTTTCACAAAAGATTACACAATGGGGGCAGCCTCCCTTTTATTTTGGACATAACTTGTGCTTAATTGCGATTGAAGTCATGCTTATTAAATTTCTATAACAAGCCACTCCTAAAGGTGTCTGTTCCCCACAGACCCCATGCAGCATCTGGTGATCGGAACTCCAGCTCTAATGGAGAAATGCTCCAGATTATTATCTCTGCTGATTCGGTTTACAAAAGCAAAACTCATGGCCCGTTTGTACTTTCATTTTAAATATATTTGCCAGCCAAAGCTCGGTAGAAACTCCCGACATGATCATGGCACCACCCTCTGTTGCATCAAGGCGCAATCGCCGTTTATAAGGAAGACAATAACCACAATATTACTGCCAGGCAAAACAAATTCACCATGTCGGCATGCTGTGTTTATAACACACACCACTGCAGTACTATAAGGAGCCTGAGTCATGCCCATCTACTTCTGGACCATGGGTCCCCGGAAGAACGAAAAAATTAATGCAAGTCAATGGGGCTAAAAACTCAATTTTCTAATTCCGCTTGTTTTGTGCTATGGATTTCACTTATCATATCCGTGAATTTTAACGACACACTTTGATACCAAGAACGCGCTTATTTTCGAACAGGGGAGAATTATAATTTAGGTTTTGTGTGAAAAGAAGTCAACCAAGCCTGTCCTCTTCCACCGTCGTTACGCTTTTCTATAGGAGCGTCTAAGTTCAAGAATCTGGTTGTTCAGCCAAGGTGAACTGGAGGCACTGGAACTGTGGCTGGTTTTGTGTGGGGAAACCTGATCTAGAATTTTGAGGCAGTGATCATTAAATGAGTTAGTAAGGAGCTCTACGTCATCAGAAGAAGGAGGTACAAAGTCAAAGAGGGAGGAGAAATTTAAAATGGTAGAACTGTTGAAATTAAGTCTTTGCTTGGCAGAGTCTGGTAAAAGAGATTCAGAATTTAGGTTAATATGAAAGGAAGCTGACTTATGGTCACTGAACACAACATCATTTATCAACAAGAAGTCCGTAGGAAAAGGCCAGATCCAGGGTGTGACCTGCTCTGTGAGTGGGTCAAGACACGTGCTGAGAGGAGTTAAAAGAGTTCATCATGTTTAGGAACTCTAGTAGAGCTGTTAGATAGCATGGATGTAGAAATCTCCAACAAAAATGATCGTGTCTAGTTTAATAGTTGAAGATAGGAGGTCCTGAAAGTCAGACGAAGGATGAAATGGCTCCAGGTGGGCGATAGACCAGAATTCCATAAACTGGTAGAACTCGACCAATTTTTATTTTTTTATTTTTTTACCGTGTCCTGTCTGGCTGTGAAGCAAGCAGAATTGATGTCTGAATGCTGGTAGGGATGAGTACCGAATTCGGTACTTTTTAAGGTACCGACCGAATTCCATAGTACCGACCGAACACCGATTCACGTCATTTCAAACGGTGCCTCGTTTCGGTACTGCCAAGACAGTTGCGCATGCGCAAGAGCGTTATGTCGCCGGTCCCTGCGAGCCCGTTGTAAACAGAGCAAGCATGGTAGAAAGAACGCACGCTAAATCTTGGGTCCACTTCACTAAATGTGATGGGTAACTGGCTGATGAAACTAGCGACAGACAACGATCTAAGTGAGACATCCTCATCTTAATCTGCTCCAGAAGGAAAATAAAATGTTTAAGATAACGTTACCTTGATTTGTTAGCTTCCGTTTCGCTAATGGTGCGTTCGCTTTCTCCTCGGAACTCCGAATTTCCGACTAGAAGAACATGAACACGCTCTAAAGTTTGGCTTCACTTTACTAAATGCGACGGGTGATTGGGTGAAGGTAAAACTAGTGACAACGATCCAAGTTTGAGGCATCATCGTTTTAATCTGCTCCAGCAGCTAAATAAACTGTTTAAGATAACGTTAGCTTGATATGTTAGCTTCCATTGCCACCATTGTTATCAGCTAATGGTGCGTTCGCTTTCTCCTCGGAAATTCTAACTTCCCAGTAGGAAAAATCAAATGAAAAAGGACGGCAGAAGGAATGAAGATACACAGTAAATTTAGTTCACAGTAAAGATGTTTGCTTCAGTTTAATTATCAGCTTATAAAACTACAAGGACGATGTTAAAATACAAACTTGTATGTTATTTATCGTGATATTTATCAAATATGGTTATATATTGAGAAAAATATATATTTAATTATAAAAGAGAATTAAAATAATAAACACTCAAAAGTATCGAAAATTGGTACCTTTAAGTACCGGTATCGACTCGTAGGTACCGGGAATTAGTACCGGATCGATTCAAATGTCAAAGGTACCCATCCCTAAATGCTGGTAACAAGCCTTACAGATTTACTCTCAGGTGGAGCATCAAAGCATTTGCTTTTAATATCACGCCTGATACTTAAAACTTTATTGTTATTGTTGTTGAATGCATTGTAATTCCGACCAGACACGGAGACAGAGGTGAAAGAGAAAGGAAAAGAAAGGTGGGGAGAGGGGGGGTCCACTAAAATAAACAATGAACAAGAGTCTGCTTCTAGACCTGCAGAAAAAGACAAAACAAAAAAAAAGGGACAAACAACAATACAACAAGATCTAGCTATCACTGCATCAACTTGATGAAGAAACTTTATAATCAACATTGCTTAACTGAAGAATCACGATAATAAACCACAGTGCATTAAGTGCCCACCATAGTCTTAAGACCTGTGTTTAACGTGCCCAAGCCCATACTTTTGAGAGCACCATGTGAGCACCTGTGTGTGTACACGCGCTTGTTTATGTAAGGTTTCTCTATAGGAACGTCCAACAGAGAGTGTGAGGGACCACAGATCCGCCCCCCAAAGATGCGCAGGAGACGGGGGGAGCTCCAAGTCCCAGAGATCCAGGCGCTGCCCCAGAACACAGGAACCCCAAGGAGACTGCAACCAGGAAGCCCCCTGGAAGCCCCCCTGCATTCATTTATTTATTTTTTTGTTGTTCTTCCGGGGACCCACGAGCCGACTGGAAAGGGAGGAGACTTAAGCTCCCTATTACGCTGATTTGCCGGCATGGCGTGTCATGTAAAAAGGGCTTAAGAGAGTAGTAATCCACTTTGGAGTTGGTTCATTTTAGACTAGCGGTTAGCTTGTTAAACTAATCAGAACACATTTCTGTACCTCCAAACTGAGGTTATTCATGAAAAAATCTCTTTAAAATGTTAGATTGCCATTGTTAAATCCTTTCCACAGAAACTGGCCTGTAAATATAGCTAACTATCCCTTTAGGAGTTTCAAATCATTTTAACAACCTTAAGTCTATCACTTACTGCTCCATTTTTTATTTAATTGGAATGCCTGCAGTCTAATTAGGGTCCACTGTGATATATACACTAACAATCAGAGAAAACTGATACAGTATGACAGCAATAACTAATATTAAAGACAATCAATTCTATCTTTTATTGGCTTTCTTTGGTTCTGTAAAAATATAGCTGCCATAATATTGTATGAAAACACATTTTATTGATTTCAGCTGCCCCTACTGACTTAAATGTAAAAAAAATGTTTTTAGGAGATGTTTAAAATGCAATAAAAGGAGTAAATATGGTTTATTGACAATTACTGAATCAATGTTTCAGAGACTTCATAACGTTCAAATTTCATGGGATTTTTAATGAGAAACAGATGTTTTTGACAAATAGGAAGGACTCACTATACTTCAACAACCATGTCAAGGAGAGAATAAAACTGGCACAGCCACCTCTGTATCTGTTCAATACATCACCCAGCGTCAATACCAATACCATTAGCATTCTCCACTGCTCAC